CTTGAAAGAAAGGCGCGGACTCGTCGCGTGTGTTTCACAGGATCTCGCCGAGTGGTTACGAGCCTTCAGCGCCCTGATGTCGCGGCATTTTGAAAAGCTCGCTTCAGAATCAGCACCATCTCTGGCGGTTAACGCTTCGAATGCTGATGGAAATGATATTCCCGTGGACTGCCAAGTGAGTCCTCGACTGGCTGACCAGCTCTAACGTCACTGGCTGGTCAATGCAAGATAGCGACCTTGGAAATCACAAACGACGATGGAATGAGACTGTTGGCGGAATGATGTATTTTCAGGGTCTCTTGAATGACCCAGAAGTTGACAAGCTGCTGCGGTGAGCGAGGATGCGGGTGAATGAGAGCTTTGAGTTTTTATCAGATATCTTCGGTCGAACCCGGGCGCTCAGCTGGACCCTCGTCGGCTCCCACCACATCTAGCGCATAAAGTGATGTATTTGGTTAAGAAAGGCATCATAAACTTGCATGCATGATCAACTCGTCTCTGTTTGCTGGTTTGGACCTTCTGTTGTTGATGAGGACCAAGTCGCGAGAACCTCGAATGGGTCATTAAATAACCCATTCGAGGTTCTCGCGGCTAAGATAACCGTTGAATGGCCGTTATTTGGAGCTGGAGATTCATGGAAGAACCATAACTAGGAAGAACCAAAGACAACAAACCTGATGTCAGAAACCTGGTGACATGATGAAGACAACACTCTTAGCGTTTATTGACGTTCGACCCGATTTCTGTTGACGGTCGACCCGCTTAGCCGCTTCCACGAACCTTCCCCATCACTAACAAGCAACACAAGTACATAGTAGTATGACGTCAATGAAGTAAACTCTCTATCATCAGTGACTCAGTTTACGATGCTTCTTATGCTTCTTTTCAACTTTGGTAGATTCGTTAGCCTCCTCGTCTCTGTCGGCCTCCTTATGATGATGCTTCTTCTTCTTTGTTACTCTCTTCTCCTCCACAGCATCTTCTTCCACCTTCTCGAGCTCAGCAGTCTTCCTCTTAGTAGATCCCCTCATAGCACCAGTCGGCTCCAGCAAAGCCCCGATTATGGTAAATGTGCTTTCAGCCGATACCACTGCTGTGTTCTCCCTTACTTCTTTTGGAGTTACTAAGCTTCTAAATGATGAGTTGTTGAGATCGCTCTCGATGGTTTTAGTAGCGGCAGCCCATTTTCTTGTGAAAGTTGATTCAACATCATCTTCATCAACACCACCGACGCCATAACATTCCCTATTGTCCTCCTTCTGTGAGTTTTCCCAATAATAAGTATCATCATCATAATCATTCGCATTAGTCGCAATACTATTACTCCCAGTAACCACCGAGTCAACAAAGAAGGTTACATGCGTACCTACAATGTGTAATACTAACCCAACGGCCCGAATACTATCTACTTACCTTTCTTAACGATAGCATCAGCACAAGCGTTCGACCTCTGACGTTTCCACGCAGCCTCTCCCTCATCATATGTCCAATCCGACAACATATTACTGCTTGGAATAGTAGCCGGCCAAGTTCCGAGAACCGTTACTCCGATGCTAGTGCCCGATACGTGAGTGACTTCGCCTGTCAACTTCTCACCAGCTTTAATGCCAATAGAAAGCAACTCGATTTGAGACAGTCTGGACGTCAGCAGAGCTCCTCCTTCCCCAACGTAACATGATGATGGTGATACTGATGACGGCAATAGACCTACAAGACTCACCAATACTCACGTGTTTTGCATCTTTACTATTACCGATGGTGATAGCAGGCGCAGTAGGGTGATCGAGATACCTCAATAGAAGCATCTTCATCGCAGTTCGTCGTAGGATACCCTTCGAGGCCACCTGTGATGGTATCATGCTTGCTGACACCGACAACTTTACAGAACTCTGAAAAATACAAGTGTAAAATCATACCATAAACGTCACTATTACCAATCTGCCGGAATAGAAGTCCTCTTCTTTCACTAAAGCCTTGCCGAGACCGTCGACCTGATCAAACCAATATCCACATCTGATTAAAATTCCCCCTCCGACTGACCATGATTTCAATTCCAGAGTTCTCACTAGAAACTCCTCCTTCGCCCTCCCCTACCATACTCTCATCAGAAAGGGTCGTCGCAGAGGCCACCACCTTGTTGAAGTCACTATAGGGTATCGGGCTTGGGACGTGATCAGTGTGATACCGCAGTAGCTGAGGGCTATTATCAAGAGGGAACGTCCCGATGAGACAACCAGTAACAACAGCAGACATTGGAGAGCAATACTGAGGAAAATTACAAGTCGGGAGAAAACACAACAAACACCATAAAAAACTGCCGGAAAATTATATCTGAAATCACTATCCTTTTTTTCCTTGCAATTTTACTATTTAAAATTGCGTATCACAAGTTCCCTCGCAGTTCTGAATCCAATCTTGACAACCCCACACAAGTGACACCAACACCTTCAGAGCTCAATACCTGCACTATCAGCTCTCAACTGAGCAGCACCGGAGAGAGAACAATATGAATATATCCAAATTTCTTAAACGACATACGAAAATTCGTCGTCGTTGGAGCGAAAGCCTTGTCGAAAATATAAGAAATTTATGAAAATATATACACAAATTCCCGCCCGATGCTTACCAAGGAAATACACATTTCACTTCCAAGCACCTTGACAACATCCACAACCGAGTTAATACCATCATCGCGTAGACTACCGTAACTGACCAGATGAGGAACATTTCTTCACCCAACAACGCTGTCAACCTTCATCAGCGAGTCGTGAGGAGATCATGTAACAAAGTAGAACTCTGCGAATAAACGGTGGAGTGGTATGGCTAAGCGAACACAACAAAATCGCAGATAAAATTGAGTTCGACCACTTCAAAGAAATCACCATGTATAAGCTTATTTTCAGACCTCCGTGACGTTGATTCTACTCAGGAAATTCATCTTTCCCATCATCATTTTCACTCAGCCCTATTCGGGTCGAACGGCAACTTGCTGGGCTCGTTGGGAATTTCACTGGGATCAAATCTGGCAATGATGACAATCACAAATGTGATAAAATAGTTTTCGGCAAATTTACTATGTGAGAAAAATGTGCGTTTTCTATTCTGGGGTTTATGTTAGTGAAAAACTTGTCGCTATCATGGTCCCGAAGAAAAGGTTACTTTTATCACATCACATGTTCATAGGAAAAGTATATACGATATAGTTTCAGATCAACTTCCAAAAATCTTGGAAAACTTTACACTTTCTGAAGTAATAAATTTTTGAAATTTTACATTCTCTAGATAATATTTTTCCATTTTTTGTATGAAAATAATTCATTTTTTTCGCATTTTTCACACCGAATTGCCACATACTAATCCTTCCCTACCTCTCCCACGGGTCTTCACCCGAGCCTTTCCAACAGTCCACATAAGTATCATCCTTCAGCACCTCAAGAGCTTGTTTCGTCGGAATCCAAATTCGATCCGACTCCCACATAAACGCCAAGGTGCCGTGGTACCTCTCTGGTTTACCGTCATTACTGCTACTAGTAGTAGTAGCAAGATCAGGACCGTGTGGAGAGAGTTGATTGTGAATAGAACTGCATCCTGGTTTGAAGCCTTGTTTGGCATCATACCCACCGTAGAGTAACCCCATAAACTCCGACATTACCTGAAATGAAAACTGTATTAGAAATTTTTTTTCAGAAAATCAACACGATTTGAGCACCAAAACTTCAAATGCAAAAAATTCAAAAACGTCTATAATAACATCAACAAGCACGGTTTCCAACACTACGCACGAGCTCATCTACAGTGTGGACCGAACCAGTCCTCAAGGTATGAGAGAGGCCGCTAAAGTGCATGCAAAATGATACCGATTACCCTGACAAGACTATGGTTTCAAATGATGACAATTTCAAAACCGTATCGAACTACTCATATCGTTATAAAGTTGACGACCCTAAAAACGAACATACTAAAAATTTACCTTGCATGACGATTTTGTTTACAAATTTCCCAACTCACATTTCTGTGAAACCAAGGTGGTCGGAATGTGTTCTCAGCAGTTAACCATCTCGGCGGGAATATCACAAAATCGATGTTAGCAGTTCCTGGTGCATATGATAACGATGGTGATTGCAACACTACTCCAATGCTCGGATCAGGATGATCGTATGTTACGGTATTAATCGCCATGAATAGCCCCAAATCGTAAACCGTTGGGTAATAATTTCCGTACCAACCAACCACATCATACGGCGTTTTATTCAACTTTGAAAGATACCTGCACACCGCACAGCGAAGATTTTGCCAATAATTTCATACCATCTTTCGCATACATTCTCCCACTGAATTTCGATATCAACTCAGACGCTCCTCGGTTCTCCACTGTTGAAGCCGTTGGCGCTCGAAAGTGCCTCGGGTGAGCCAAACCGGAGGTGATGCCAATCGGACCAAGGTCGGGAATTTTGAATGGCGCTCCGTAGTTCTCCAGGAAATATCTAATTGAAGCCGTACCGGTTGCATAAAATTCCATGTCCAGTTTCTCACCCTTTAGCACGCCCACTGTTGGCCTTATCGACGGTGAATTTGATGCCTTTTGGGATGAGTATCATTTCTCTCGGACCACCTCTCAAAACTCCCAATTCAGTACCTAATTTTTATGCAACCAGCACGACCACAATTTTTTACTACGTATTTTCAAAACGTTTTCCCTGGGTAAAAACATCACATCTGCGTCATGATGGATAAACACTCTCGAGCTCTCAGACATATCTTTCCCGAAGTCATACACCCCACAAGAAGCACCCTTATGATAAGCGATAGTGAAAAGTGAATCCACCCAGTCAACGGTCATATTATCAACTCCTTCAATATCTTCACTTGCCTTAAACCTGTACGGTTCTGGCGTTACTCCTTCTGGAATAATTGTAGTCGTGCCGGTTGCATAAAATCTAATAATCACAGCCATCGTGTTTTCTCTCATACTTTCCCATTACCTCTCATTGACATCATACGTCCTGTACAAACTACTACCACCACCATCGTTATCACGAGTCAATCGACTCAGTTGACTTACACTAGGGTATTTCCTATACATCCACGTATAATAATTAGAATTTCGTGGCGCCGTGAAAGCAGTTCCACTGATGATCTCAGGGTACAGTCCATACGCTGGTCTCGACGGTGAATTCTGGTTTCTCGGCACTGCATTTGGCAGCAACTCGGTCATGAGAAAGTTCTGGTAGCCTCCAACGTATTGATACCTATACCATAATTCGAGCAACTCTCATCATACGCCGTACTCAATTTCGGAGCCTTCCGACCCCGGGAATGCAGTTCGACTATACTGATAAGTAGATCCGGTCGTACACCAACGCCTCGGTGTTATCAAACCGTTATGTTTCAACACATATCGCTTCACTCGAGGGATTATCAACATGCTCATTATTATCAGATGAGGAAGAACAGCCACAAGAAGGACCCTATAGACAACCAAAAGAACTTTACTAAAACGCAACAGATGAATAGCTTCCTTTCGAGACCCAGTATCCACAGTATGGTGTCACCATCGGCCTGCAAGTGTCACCACTTAGAAGCGGAGCTTCCTTCTGAGGAAGACCAAGTCCTTCGAAGGCTTGTTGCCGCTCTTCTCGAGAGAAGGCTTTTGGAATTTCTCCTTCATCAACTTTGAGAAACTCAACTTAGCCTGCTTTCTGCCGTCAACAGTTTGCATCTGCTCGTCAGAGACCAAAGTCTTGCCATCGATATCATGAGGGAGAGTGTATCTACCACCACCACCATATGCACCAACACTACTACTATTCTATGCATTACCTGGTCGCGATGAGATGATTGAAGTTGACATACTTCACGAAAGTCTTCACTCTAGAGCGCTTGTCCTGCTTTTTCATGCTCATCTTTTTAGTGACAGACTGGGGGTGTTTCTCAATACCAACGACGAGGCAGTGACCATAGGGATGGCTCTTGGTGCCGTTCTCGTTGACCTTGGCAATCACAGCCTTGTGACCGGCTTGGCGACCGTTTAGGAGGATGACGACACGTCCGGCACGAAGGCTGAGAAGAAGAAGGAGTGGTATGATAGTGAACGTAGTGTCAGCAGCAGTCCTCCCACAACTTACAACTTTCCCATTGTTAGTAGTCAACAGTGACTTGATGCTGGACTCGGCAGACAGAAGCCTCCTAGACACCCGTATTCACCTAAATCGATCAGCTGATCGATTTCAACATCACGCGCTAATCGACTTCGACCACGGACAAGGCGGCTACCTCTATATGACAAAGTGATGGTAGAAGCGCCTTTTGAGTGGTTACTATAGCTTTGCGGCTAACGGGGCCTGGTAGCACACTAGAGGTTCACCCGTGAGGTAAAACACATTTCACGATTCACTTAAAACAACTGTTATACAGTTTACATGGAGTATTACACCACTTCACGTTAAACGGGTGGAACTTTACTAAATGGTATTTTTAAATGTATCATCACCGAGGCATGATCGACTACTGAGTACAGTAGCAAAGTACAGTCGGATGATCGTATTTTCTAGTCATTTCTCATCAAAACCAAGCCTTCGTTGTGAATTAGCAGTAGTTGCATTAGCATATAGATCATCGACATTGTCACGATGACTAAGTACAAACCATCTTGACCGTCTACCTTACAACCGTGAACGCATTGTCCTTTCACAAATTAACCAACACTATCGTCGGATCGTTTTTCAGGATGACAGTACATGACCTCACTACTCTTGACAACTTGCATAGGAGCTAGTCTTGCATCGTGGGACTCCCAGCAGTCATATGGCCGCTCATTCCATTTTATCTGCAATCGGCATACCCTCTAGTTACATCACTATCACATAGCAATGTTCATCAACCATGCCACGTATAGTCTACCATGTTGACGTGTATAATTCTTTTTCCACAAAGAAAACATAGCAAGGTCGTTGAAAAGCGACTGCTCACCCATAGCCATTGCTGTCGTATCGCTCTCCACTACATCTTGCATTTTATCATCCACCGTATGGGAGCGCCCACGCGTAGAGAACCCCAAGTATGATCTACGCTGCTGTGGCCATCTGTTTACTTTTCAACTCTCCTCAGAGGTTCTTTCTTTTTGCGATTCATTCGCCGTCACCATGGACGAACACTTGTGTTCACCAGTGGCTTACAGTATGAGATCTACTGCTACTGCTACTACTACTACTACTACTACTACTACTACTACTACTACTACTACTACTACTACTACTACTACTACTACTACTACTACTACTACTGCTACTACTGCTACTACTGCTACTACTACTACTACTACCACTACTACCACTACTACTACTACCACTACTACTACTACTACTACTACTACTACTACTACTACTACTACTACTAAGCCTACTAGATATGATGAGCCTTCGACAATCATGATGACTGATGTTCGTTTCATAATTGTCATCCAATGAAGTCATTCTGGCATTCTCATCTCTGGTTGTGATTAGTTTATCAATAAATATTATCAATATTATCGATAAGGATATTAGTATCAACAACCTTATGCAGCTTGAGTCTGATTCCACCCAGGGAATTCACTCTCTTTCCCTCCACAGATGCCTACATTCTTCATCTAAGCAACACACTTTCCAGTTGAAAGTATTATACGATCGATCGCCATGAAAACTCCTTTAACCATTCTAATTGTACTAAACCATTACCGATGTGAGAAGATATGTCCATGGTCAACTACATGTGTTGCTGATGGCTTAACACTTCTTATCGCAACTACATGTGTTGATGCTGGCTTAACACTTCTTATCGCAACTACATGTGTTGCTGATGGCTTAACACTTCTTATCGCAACTACATGTGTTGCTGATGGCTTAACACTTCTTATCGCAACTACATGTGTTGCTGATGGCTTAACACTTCTTATCGCAACTACATGTGTTGATGATGGCTTAACACTTCTTATCGCAACTACATGTGTTGATGCTGGCTTAACACTTCTTATCGCAACTACATGTGTTGCTGTCGGCTCAACACTTCTTATCGCAACTACATGTGTTGCTGTCGGCTCAACACTTCTTATCGGTTCCCGAATAACTTATATGTAAACGTGTGTAATTGAAATAACTCAAGTCATAAGTGCGATCATATTTTCCGTATACTAGGATCAGCTAAAGTTAATCTTAACACCAGCTTCACTTCTGTACTGTTTTAACACAAGTATAATCGTTCAACACATATTCATTACCAATATCCCAGCAATTTCACTACAGCATCGTTTCGAACGGCTTTCGGAATTTATTCCGCAATCCTTCATTAAACCAATGATTGTAGTAGTTGACGAATGCGCCGTAGTAGTAGAAAAAAAGTAGAAAAAATAGTGACGACTTATAATTTTTTTCCAAGACGACCATTGCCAATAATAATAAATCTCTCGATACGCCAGCGCATGTCACTAATTTCGTTCCCTGGTGGTCTTGTTTCCACCGCTATTTTCATCATTAGTGCTATAATCGGGTAAACTGATTAGGAATATTTCCAACAAGTCACTGCCATCATATCTTCAAGTGATCAGCGTTAGAGAGTATCCACACGATCGACTACATGTCTTATCGAAAGTAATACCAAAACTCTGCGAAATCTCCCTAAGCAGTAGTATTCCTATTCCTATAACCAGTGAGTGCGCTCCTGAGCTCAGCTGAGAAAAGCGAACAGAAATTCCACCAACACTACATCTCGTGTTCGCTGAAAACAGTGCAGAGTAGTTAAACTAACAAGTTCAAAACACAATAGAAAAATAGTGGTAATAGAAACAGGCGTATTACGTTGTTGTTGATGAAGTAGTAGCAGTAGTACACAACCGGACCTCATCCGTATCTTTATCGGCCAACCTTAGAAATATCTTTCTTAATAGCCAAAGACTTCTTCTTATTCTTCTTATCGTCATCATCCCTCATTTTACTATCGCTGCCATGTACGACTGAAATCAAAACTTTCACCAGCCGACCAAAACACTCTGCGAATCTCCTTACAATTTTCTCAATGACTTTCGAGAAACATGAGAGTTTCACCCGTTTCACGTGAAGTGGCGTAATACTCTGCGGAAAACGCGATACGAGCGCTGTGCAGTAGTCGTGAACTCTGTTTTTCACTAGTGTTTTTCATATCACTAGGGTGAAACTCCATAATACTAAAACTCGATTGAAAACCTTTGGTCGCGCGAAAATTTCCGGATTTCCCTGAACCACCCAAACCGTAGTGTAAATTCAACTCGAATAAATTGAAAACATACTTTACCAAAATCACCCTAAATTTCAACAACGCACATTTCGATACTCCCAAAAAAATTTCACCTTTTATTTTCAGCCGGTCTCGCCTTTCCCTACGCCTTTTAGCCATCTTGTCCCTAGTTGACAGAGGCCTTTTATTCTTAACCATGTCGTCATCGATCAGATCAATATCATCATCATCCACCTGCTGAGAACGACATCACTCCTGTTACTACTACTACTATCAATGTTATACGACTACACTCATTTTTGATATGGAAATCATAGATATTTTTCTCTACTTTGCTCGAGAATAGACAAACTCCGCTGCTATGCAATCGATAACCATAAGTCTCCAAATATAACAACAATACATTTCCTCTCAAGTGAGATATATATACTCTATTACAAAACCCCCACAACCACCATTTCACGTTAATTCACCAGATAGATGCCAATTCCAAAATCATGGTTTCTCCATATCACTATTCGGAATATAAGATTATCATTAACATATGAGTTTACACTTCGATTGATAATAAGTTTAATCCTACATATCTTCTCGAATGACAGCACACTTGAAGATGTATGACAAATCTCAACAATTATAGTGTATTGTTTCGGTATTGCATATACTCACTCGAGCTCATACACTGAAATTCTATAAGTAGTTAGGAAACTGCCAAGCTCAGCTGAGGAGAGCAAACACATATTCCAATGATATGACAAAAATTTTCTTCCTTATTAATTTTCACGATTTTATTACCGCATCGACGTCCATTTTAGCCTCAATTTTCTTCTCATTTTTCACTTTCCTTTTCTCAGCTTTCCTCGCCAGCTTTTCCCTGTATTCAGCGTCAACTCTTTGCAGGAAAGCGTGGTGAGCAGCCTTGGAGCGATTCTTCTTCATATCGACGACAAAGTGGCTGTCAAAAATTCTCAATAAAAATCAAAAACGCAACAGTTAGCGCTGAAGTTATGGTAGAAAACGATTTTGAAATTATTCAGCTTTAGTCGTAGAAAGAGTTTTCTTATTCCCCTGTTGTTGTTGAATACGTAAGTGTAATCGCAACAACGACGACAGTTGCCTTTGAAACTCCGCTGAAGTCGCTGATTCAACCTGACATCCACAAATGCGCGAAATGAGAAATCGCTACTTTACCTTAGTGCTAATTTTCTTGGGTAAATTCCGTTTCCCAATGAGAACTTTCTTTCCCCCACTCCTGGTGGCCCTCACCATGCAGTACGAGCCTTCTTCAATTCCTGTGATAGCAAAATAATAATAATCATAATTCCCATACCACACCATTGTTACTTTTCGTCTGCAGCCACACACAGTTGACGCCCTCTGCTGCATACAGTTTCCCTAACTCTACCAGAAACTTGTCATTTTCCAATAGTAACACCATTTCGTGATGAGAAAACTATCACTACTGTGATAAGAACAGAAAACGGGTTCATCTGTAATGATGTATTTCGCCATATTCAGCGAATTCAGAAATCAATAAGTTGATGCTAGAGCCCAGTCCGTAGGTAACACAAAGCAGACCTTGAATATTAGAGTACACTTCCACTTTAGTACAGTGGTGGAGTTTCACCCATTTTACGTGAAGTGGCGGAAAACTTCGTGAAAACGCGATATTTGCAATAGTCGTGAAATATGTTTTTCACTAGTGTTTTTCATATCACTAGGGTGAAACTCCAGTGCACAGTAGATACGATAGAACCGTAAATGCTTACGGACATTTGCGCGAATTCGGTCGCTCTCCAATTGGCTTACCATAAACTGTTGAACACATGAAATTAAACTATTCCTTTATAAGAAAGACAGGTTTATTGAGAAATTGTGATAACATATATCTATTTTATGTTATGGCTTTACACTGTACACTCTGTTCAGAAGGGTAAAAGGAGCCACAGGCTCCTTACACTCTCACATAAGAGATTTTCAGTGAACGAAGTATAAAACTATGGAAAAATGAATCCTCGAGAAAATTTCCCTAGAATAGAAACCTATCGGGGAATGTAAGTACTACACCTCTCGTAAATTTCCGAGGTGGTCCTAGAATCGAGTTGTACATAGTAGATACAATCCTGGAACTTGGCTCAACTTCACAAAGGCAGCCATCGATTAGTTGGGCGCGCGCTAAAGTCATTATTCACGGCGCGGTTGCTGTTTACGTACACCCTTCTTATATCAATCTTTAGAAGACTACACATCCATCACAATGGCCCTCCTTATCTCCACTCCAGCTCGCTACAGTCGTCGTCTGGCTTATGCCACTACCTTTAACCGTAGTAACTTCTCGACGGCTGTTGACAAGGGAACGATGACCCCAAGCGAGGCGTTTGTGGAGACCCTCGTGAAACAGGTTTGTGTCACCACTTCGAACATTTTGTGCGTAAACATTTACATATACAATTTGTATTATTCGATAATATGTATTCTACGATTATCCACCTTCAGAGGTCTATGATTAAATCTCGGTATGGTAACAGTTTTATACATATTATTGGAGTTTCTTCACCCTAGTGATATGAAAAGCACTTGTGAAAAACATATTTCACGACTACTGCATAGCGCGAATATCGCGTTTTTCACCGAATTTCGCGCCACTTCACATAAAACGAGTCGTGAAACTATATTGATTTCTCATTGTGAAAGGAAACTTTGATAGTAATATACATATCGATCAGTTTTCGACAATGCATAGCAGTGTGGTCAGTTTGCACATGATAAACCACAAGTGTTGGTGACAATACGAAAATTCTGAGGAAATTTTGGAGAATTTCTGTTAGCGTCTTTCCACTTCTCGTAAGTATTCGCTCGATTCGTGTATGAACTCATATGGTTAGTGAGGAAACTATTGAGCTCAGCTGCTGAGGAAAACGAGCACATATTTTGCAGCACTGTATCGCTATCAATATCACCCCTCAGGATGTGAAATATGTCTTCGGAATCGCCGGCTCAGCTTTCATGGATGCCCTCGATCTCTTCCCCATAGCCGGGATAAGGTCCGATCAGCCTACGTCGATCGAACAGCTACCACTACAGTGCCTTCTTGTAGGTACATAAGCGTCCAACACGAACAGAATGCTGTTCATATGGCTGATGGGTGCGGCAGTAATAACATAATCATCATCCTATTCCTCTTCCTTCAGCTACGCCCGTATCAGTGGTCGTCACGGTGTATGCGCTGCTCAGAACGGTCCTGGTATTACTAATTTTGTTACCGCCCTTCAGGGCTGCTACTGGTCTCATAGGTAGACGGTGATTATATAGTAGAAATTGCCAACTGTTTTGATTGCTCAGCCCGGTGGTGGTCATCACTCCCGACCATTCTTCGATGCAAACGGGAACGGGGGGTTTTCAGGTCGGACCACATTTTACGTAATTTCACATATTTTGCATTTTTTCAGGAATGCGATCAGTTGAAGATATTCGAGAGTATGGTGAAGTACCAAGGGCAGGTGAACAACCCTAAAAGGGTCGCAGAGATAACCTCGAGGGCCTTTGATATCGCCCTCAACGACCGAGGACCGACACAGATCAACATACCGAGGTGAAGGCATGGACATAACACCCCTTAGCAGTGATGAACATTACTTCAGAGATTACTGGTATGGCAAATATGATTTTACTATACCGGATCCACTTCACATTGAGCGAGGCCCTGGGGGGCCCAAGTCCATCGAGCGCGCCAAGGAGCTCCTTATGAGTGCTAAGAACCCGGTATAATATCGGCATTGCTATCGTCACAATCTCTTGCCCAATGCGCTGTAGGTCATAATGGTAGGAGGGGGCGTGGCTGCCTCTAAGGAGAATATCGAGGCCGCAGTAAGGTTTGCGGAAAGCGTACAATGCCCAGTGGTTACAACCTATCTGCATGGTGACGCCTTCCCACAGGATCATCCTCTTTGCGCTGGTATTCTGAGGTGGGCGATTTACGGTATGGAGAGTGCATAAGCGTCGTGCTTTAGTTATGGTGGTAGTCTGGGGGCTATGAAAGTAGCCAAGGATGCTGATGTCGTGTTGGCATTGGGCACGCGCATCAACCCTTATATGAAAAACCCGTAGGGGACGTGCTGGTCTGTGGAGATGATGATTCTATCAGTCAATACGGCCTAGACTGGTGGCCGAAGAATGCCAAGTTAGTTCAAGTTGATATCGATTCACGCCGACTGGGGCTCACCAGTGAGTGCATGCTCTTCCTCCCCGTAGTAGTTGAGGTTCTCGACAGGTCCGGTAGCAGTAGCGGTTAATGGTGATGTTGGACAGTTTATGGATATTCTCACTAGGTTGGACAATCTCGAATTGGTTCTGTGGGGAAATTTTTATCAGATATTTTACATCACCTGAAGGGAAGCACGCGGCTCGACAGCTCTTAGACCCGAATGCCATCAATGGTAGATTGTCTAAGGCTAGAGCTCATGTATTATCATTACTACTGTTGGTTTTCTCATACCACTCATCGCTGAAAACAGGTCAGTGAGTGGGAAGCGACACTGAAGGGTATGACTGACGATACGAGGTTGTGCCAACCGAACAGGGTGAGGCCTCGGCAGGCCTTGGCAGCTGTAGAAACGGCTTTGCCGGAGAACACCATGTTGAGCGTCGATACTGGCAATTTGTCGGCTCTCAGCAGCAGCTATATGCCTAAGGTAAGATATTGTTGTCGACTTTTTGAATACCACTCCTTCAGTTCATCACGCGTGAGCCGTCCCTTGTCGGTCCGGGAATGTGGGCGTCTTGCGGCCCTGCGTTTGGTGCTATGATGGGCGCTAAGCTGGCCAGACCCGACAGACCGGCTGTGGCGTAATGACGATTCGTGATTTTGCGAAGGAGTGGTATGAAATTAGTTACCATGGTGATGGTTCCTGGATGATGAATGGCATAAATGAAGTCGTCACCTGCATAAGGGAGCAAATACCAACCACGGCTATCGTATTCAACAACAGGCAGTGGGGCGCAGAGAAAAGCAACCAGGTCAACTTTTTCGGGGATCGCTATCTTGGTAAGGATACTCGATATACAAGATGCACTTGTATATAACAATGGAGTTCCACGACCCGTTTCACGAGAAGTGGAGTAATACTTCGCGAAAATTAGTGAAAAATATATTTCGCGACTACTGCATATCGTGAATATCGCGTTTTCACAGAGTATTACGACGCCACTTCACATGAAACGGGTCGTGAAACTCATGTAATGTGTTGATGAATACGCACTTGTAAATAACAATAGTATACCTGGCGTTATTATATTTTATTAGAGGCTCTACTATATCCGTTCATAGGCACTAATCTGGATTATCAGCCGGACCACGCCGCAGTTGCCCAGGCTTTTGGAGCTGTCGGGTTGAGATGCACCCACGTTGATGAAGTTGGTGACGCCGTGAGGGCCGCAGTTGACGCACAGATGAAGGACGGCAAGACTTCCATTGTCGAGATAGTTTGCACACGAGAGCTTGGAGACCCCTTCCGTCGGGATGCTATGGTGGTCATCATTCAGGGTTAGTGAGGCTATTGACGGTGATCATGTTCAGGCACTCCCGACTAGATATTTGGACAAGTATAAGTCCACTAACACGGACAAGTACTCTCCTACAGGGCAGCCGACCGATATATGAGAATGCTCTGATATTCAAACATGATGTTTATTCTTGAATCTTCAACCTTGGGCTACTTTTTTACATGCTATTTACTCATCTCTTTCAGGGTAGGTGACGTAGTATTGAGTTCATTAATAGTTTCACAGTAATTATTCACAGTGAATATGAAGTCCTAGTTGACACCATCGGTGTAATCGGATATATGCGTATCAGATGTTTCGACCGTTGCGCTATTTCAGCTAGCTTTATCGCGGGCGATAGTTTCCACAAGGCTTTTACTACATGTCATAAAAGTCTTGTGTGATATAAGTGTTAACGGCATCATGGCTTCCTTGTCGTTGATGATGGCACAGCAGCAAGTAAGGAAAGTGACTCACTTCAAGTGAGTTCTAAGTTAGTTAAGGGCCTGGCAGCGCCAGCGCTTGACACGTTAAAATGCAGAGATACATGAGCGAGGATTCGAACCTGCGCACAGGATTTTGCGCAGATCGTCATCGATCCCGTGATCGATTTAGAATCAGCTATTCTTGAGCACCGGCAAGTCGGGTTGCCAGAGCTCAATTCTTTTTTTTTTCTTCCGATGTATGCCACCCTCTTCACCCCCTCGCCGTATACGTCTGTTCACTTGGTTCTTTGCAAGACCTCTTGGTGTACTGGGCTTAGTGCCCGCTGCTGCCTTCGCGGCTTAAATGAGGCTTCTCGCTTTCGAGTGCACTCGTGATAAATAGAAGGCTTAGCGCCTTCTCTTCTTTGTACTACATCCTAGGCTAATAAGAGGCTTAGCGCCGTCGGTTTGCCTTGTCGGCAAATGAGAGGCTTAACGCCCTCGGTCTGCATCTTTGAATGATAAGGGACCCAGCGTCCTTAAATACCTTCTCGAGCAATAAGAGGCTTTGTGCCCTCAAATGCCTTAGCGGCTGACAAGAGGCTTCGTGCCTCATAATGACTTTGCAGCTCATGGCGAATTTTTTGGTGACTAGTTGATGTTTTAATCGGCAACTCACAATGAGTTTAGTGCTCTCATTGCCTTTTTCGGCTTACCAGGGGCTTAGGAATGGGTCCTATCCTCCCGATGTTCCCACTGCCTCATGTTTGGGGTATGTTCCGATCTCCAAGGGGTCGAATGCCCTTGCGAGGCATCATATATCCTTTTTTTTGACAGTTGGCCCTTTAGAGCTCCACCTCTCAATGACCAAGCCTTCCACCGGGAAGTCAGCTAGTGGTAAACCTCCTCTAGAAGTACCCAGCCTCCACAAACCGGCCGAGCCGAGCACCGTGGACGAATTCGCAAAGGCAGTCGAGACTGCCGAGTCGAACAAGTCTCCCGAAGACGGGGGAACTGGGGATAAATCTCAGGAGAGGAACTCGTCGAGTGTGATGGGTAATACAAACAGTTCCCCGAGGTGCTTCCTAGGCAAGCTTTTGCTCAGGCGAGTGTGGAGGAGACGAGGATGTCGATGCTAAGACCCAAACAAAGAAGGGCAAGAAATCCAGGCTGATGGCCGCTGTCGAGAAGGCGAACCGTCGCGCCGGTGTGGTGTCGGTGGAGGTACCCCCTACCAACGAGGCATCCGATGTTGGCGAGACCGCCGCTGCCATCGAGGAGATTCAGCCCCCTAAGTCGAATCTTGAGCCCGAGACAGACGGCGACTCGTCTGGTACAGCAGACATGGCCAAGAAGTTTAAGTCTTTTATCAATATGATTATCGATGAGTCCAGCAACCGGAAGAGCCACGGGAGCTCTGCTGAGAATGGCGCCGTCAAGATATCCAAGGCATTGAGAGATGCTGGCATCGGTAATGCCTATGACACGGCTCTGTTCAGCCAAAAGGCTCTTGAGTGGTGTATCGAAGACCAGTCTTATCTGTTATCTGGCCCCATCGAGAGCTTCGTTGATGATGACGATGTGGGAGGTCCTCTCACTCTATCCAAGCTCACGAGACAGCTATTAGCCTGGGCCACTATTGGTTCTATCGTTGGAGTGAAATGGGGACTTCTTTTCTCCCACTTCAATCATGTGCTCCGCGCGGTGGAGTTCAAAAACCCCCCTAACATCCAGAGCGGGGGGCACTAGCTTGGCCATTTCGTATGATAAAGCAGTGAGGTCTAAGCTTTTGAAGGAGCTTCTGGCCCAGAACTCTACCGTGGAGATCTGCTGTGAAAGCATGAAGAACATGGACTCTACCGACCTGCTGATGCTCGCCGCTTCCCAAGCCGACTCTGGCGGAAAGGGAAAAGGGAAAGGACGAGATCCTCTGTCGAGTGGGAAAGGCAAGGGTCGTCAGAATGTGAAGAGATCCTGGTGGTCTACCAATTGGCATGATGACGACTGGTGGCACTGGCCTAAGAAGGCCAAAGACAACTCGACGGCTGAGCCTGGACGAGTTTCGTCTAAACCAACAGAGAAGAAGGTAGGCTAGTCGACGACTAGTAGTCGTGCGAATAGTATTGTACCAGCCTGATACCATCACTCTTTCCTCTTTTTCTCGACGCTACAAGTTGTCGTACAACCTCGTCAGATCATCAATATTAAGAATCTTGTGTTTCAGTTGGGAGGTCCCACCACGGCTCTCACTACACGACACTCTGTTGACGATCACATGAAGCTCGTCGACCAAGCACAATCGGTCAGCTCGCGCGAGGACATCGATAGAGAGCAGTCCCTCGTGGTATTAGCCAAGAAGGACCTTTGTGATATAGTTACGACGAGTCCTTCGCCGGATCCGGAATCGACGCCTGGAGAAAATGACGGGACAAAGAGAGCTCCAGTCTGTTACTTTATTCCTCGCCTTAGCAGAGTCGGCTGCGGGTGTCAGCCCAAGGGCACGAGATCACCATCGTTACAAAACGAGCTGTCTGATCTCTCCCTCTCTGACCACTTGGCCACTTCCATCAACCTCTCGAACCCGCTATGTACCAGCCCTGGGCTCCCGGACTCTCTTAGGGCCAGCATGGTTTGTCATAAAAGACTCGGCGTGGACGGCGTGTTAAAGGGCAGGGTAGCAGCTAGATCTTACTGGGAGAATCGCGCGGCTGAGCTCGAGCAAGAGAGACTTCGATGGAGGCAACAGATGCACCCGAATGTTAGGCGGATCGCAGGTCATCTGCATCTACCACTATTTCAAGAAATGTTGAAGGAGTCAGACTATCCAGACTGGTCTATCGCTTCAGAACTCCGTGATGGGCTAACACTCGTCGGCGAGTTTCGTACACCCGATGGCACGTTCAGAGTGCGTACAGGGCAGAAACGCGGTCGACGCGTGGATTTGAACGACTTACTCAAGGAGGGTCCTGACAACGCAAGGATCTTGGCGAATCAGATCGAGTCGTCGGACTCAGAATTCGACCAGGTTCTCTGGGATAGCGCTATCCAGGAGGCGGCCGACGGGACCATGATAGGCCCACTCGACCCGGCCGATTTGTCAACGGTTTTCCCCGAGGGATTCGTCTGTAGTCGGAGGTTTGGTGTGGCACAAGTAGATAAACTACGGCCGTGCGACGACTTCCGTCGCTCCCAAATAAATGCGACCATGAAGTTCCACAATAGAGTGTCCTTGCCGTCTCCGGAGTCGACGATCGCGACGGCTCGGGAGTATGTGCGTCTGACTGGTGAGAGCGATGTTCTATGGTGGAAGACAGACCACGCCGCCGCCTATAGGCAAGTGCCCTGTGCGCCAGATTCCTACAAAGTTTCACTAGTTCTTCTAAAGGATCCATCCGATGGTGTGGTGGAGGCTTTCTACCATGTTGCGCAGCCTTTCGGGGCGTCGAGCTCAGTGGTGAATTATTGCCGCGTTAGCCAGGCCCTAGCTCATATTGGCAGGGTTTGCTTAGCGATACCGCTACTAAACTTTCTGGATGATTACTTCAGCTGTGAAGGGTCTAAGACTGCACAATCGGCATATGACAGTTGGGTTTGGTTACATTTGATCATTGGTTTTATCCTGAAGATGCCCAAGTGTGTAGAGCCCTGCTCTTCTCTACCTATACTCGGCGTTCTACTGACGGTGAGACAGTCGGATGTCATCTTATCTCTCCCTCCGGACAAGCGAGAAAAGTTGCTCGCAAAGGTCGACGATGCTCTGCTCACTGGTGCGCTCTCGAGCACCACCGCTTACAAGCTCATCGGCACTCTTACCTTCGCCAGTGCGACCCTGCCAACAAGCGCCACAAGACCATACTTGAGACAACTACTCAATTTCCTTCATCATATAGAGTCGTCAGGATATGGGAGATGCTGGGATAGTATTATTGATGCTCTCAAGGCATTGAGGGCTCTATTCGGTAATGCCACGAATAATAGGCCTATCTCCCTCTCTGCGGAGACCCTAGCTCCAATACATCGAAAAGCGAGTCTCTACTCCGACGCCACAGATGAGGCTGGCATAGGGGGAGTGGTGTATGCGCCAGATTTCACAACTCCGCTATACTTCTCTGATAGAGCGCCTGAGGATGCAATAGCCTCCTTTCTGCCGAGAAAGACACAGATTAACGCGCTGGAAATGTATGCAGCCGTAGTCACTCTCAGCTCATTCGGCAAGTACGTTAAAGATCGATGGGTGATATTCTTCGTGGATAACGCCGCAGTAGAGTATGGCCTGGTGAGAGGGCATTCGCGCCACTCAGATCTCAACAGTCTCATCACCCGCTTCTGGGAGCTATGCGCCTCTCTGAACCTCAAGCTATGGATTGCTCGTGTACCCTCACTATCGAACCCAGCTGACGCCCCCAGCCGGCGCGAATTTTCGTCCTTAGTTTCTTTTTCAAGAAAAAGGCCGGTCTTCCCGGACATGGCAACAGCGATGTGATTCGTATGCATGCATTTTACTCTGTTTCCGTCATACCGCATGATGTTTTTTGTTGATAATTGGGGGTGACTGCCGAGGGAATACACATTGGGAATGGACATACAGCCTCTCCTCAGGGTGATATCAGCGCTTTAATGTTACATCTTCGGCACGTCCAGCGACAAGGAGATATAATGCTCATACCGGCTTGTCTTTTGTTGATCGAAGCAGGCTTCTTGACATGGGAACAAGCCCGACTAGGGTTCGATCGCTCGGTACTTCCAGAAGTTCTCGACCATGGTCTGAGAGTGATCTTAGATGTAGCGCTATTCGGTGGTGAGCGTGCTCAGTTCAGGGGAAGAATTTGGGAAACCATTATCGGGGCTTCAATACAAGCCAATAGAGAAGCCTCTGCAGGCACGCCTTCGAGCCTGACAGGCCTGAAACCTAGCCAAGTTCCCAGACATCTAATCGAGAGAGCCAACTCGGTCGGCCCGAGCTCGGTCATGGAAGGACTCAAGCGCAACGCGAACAACCTCAGATTCAGATCAATCAGTGACAGGTCCATAGCCCAGTACGCATCAGGATTCAGGTGCTACCTACGTTTTGCCGAGTGTGTTGCGTCACTTGAGGCCGTTGATCCTCCTGACCCGATCATCCCGGCCAAGAGCGAGAGAGTCTCTCTGTGGCTCTCGACGTTTAGCAACGCTGGGACTGCGAATACGTACCTATCTCATCTCCGCAAATGGCATAGTTGGTAGGGTCTAGATCTCGCCTGGGACACAGTTGCAGTCAAGCAATGTATTAAAGGGCTCTCCGCCGTGAGATCGACGAATACAAGACCGAGAACGAGGATCGATTTCACCCTCCTCCGCTCTCTGGTGAAGGCCGCTATCGATAGGGCATGGATTGATGAAGCTTTGGCAATGATAGTGGCATATTTTTTCCTATTACGGGTCCCTTCCGAGCTTCTCACGGCCAAGATTACTCAAGTAGAGCTGACAGAAACCTGCGCGCGTCTGGTTCTTCCGCAGAGGAATAATCTACCCTCTGGTGACGTACTGACTCGAAGCTGCACCTGCGATAAGGACTCGCTCACATGTCCAGTTGAAGCTCTGAAAATTCTCGTGGTCCGTCGAAGAACGGAAAAAACGCGCCCCGGAGGTAAAAGCCTGGTCCCCTTGTCATATAGATCTTTCTTATCCGCCGTGAGGTTTCTGCTCAAAGACGTTGGAATCCACGAAAGTCACGAGTTTGGTACCCACAGTTTCCGACGGGGTCATGCTCATGACCTGGCGGTTTCCGGTACTACTTTCCAGGACATCTGCCGACTGGGTTCGTGGAGGAGCGAGGTTCCGGCAAGAGTATACATTGACACAGCCCAACTGCAAAGTATGGCATGTCACAGTGCTCTGCCGATGATAGATGATAGCGAGTCAGAGATTAGTGACAGAGACTGAGGATGATTTTTTTTTCTTCTTTTTCTTTCTTCCGTTATTAGTTTGTCGTTCTGTTCTGTTCGTGTGACTTGTGACTCTGAAGTTGAGTTCGAGGAGTCTACAAACAGCGAGGGGAGAGAGTGTCTGAAAAGCCATCGAGGTGACGCGCAGCTATCGAATCCGTTTGGCCAATCCCGTCGTACACATTGGGAAATAGCCACGAAGGTCTTTGGCCAATACCACCACACATTGGGAAGTCAATTGGCTCAAAGGCTTCTGGCATAACAAGTCCGAGGACGTACGCTACGCAGACTTGGACTTGTTCGATGCTGCGCACAGTGTTTCCAGTGCATGAACCCGAAAAACCTCTATACAGGCTTCGAGAATCCCGCTGTGAGTGCACCATTGGACCCAAGTCTATCAAGGTGCAACCAGCAAAAGGGTCGGTCATCGACTCATATCAGCCTTCAGGGCTTGGATTCTAAGCCAGACCCGCGATAAATCCCGACTCCAGTGTTCGGGCTGCGGGTTTAGAGGTTTGAGGTTTAGTGCTTGGTGCATTACTATCACCTCTCGGCTTCTCTCACTCTCTTCCCACGGTTCACGAGATCCGAGCGTTTGGTAGATGTGCATTTTAAGTTAGTTAAGGGCCTGGCAGCGCCAGCGCTTGACACGTTAAAATGCAGAGATACATGAGCGAGGATTCGAACCTGCGCACAGGATTTTGCGCAGATCGTCATCGATCCCGTGATCGATTTAGAATCAGCTATTCTTGAGCACCGGCAAGTCGGGTTGCCAGAGCTCAATTCTTTTTTCCCTTGCCCATCCCGCCCGGAAGTCAATTGGCTCAAAGGCTTCTGGCATAACAAGTCCGAGGACGTACGCTACGCAGACTTGGACTTGTTCGATGCTGCGCACAGTGTTTCCAGTGCATGAACCCGAAAAACCTCTATACAGGCTTCGAGAATCCCGCTGTGAGTGCACCATTGGACCCAAGTCTATCAAGGTGCAACCAGCAAAAGGGTCGGTCATCGACTCATATCAGCCTTCAGGGCTTGGATTCTAAGCCAGACCCGCGATAAATCCCGACTCCAGTGTTCGGGCTGCGGGTTTAGAGGTTTGAGGTTTAGTGCTTGGTGCATTACTATCACCTCTCGGCTTCTCTCACTCTCTTCCCACGGTTCACGAGATCCGAGCGTTTGGTAGATGTGCATTTTAAGAGAAAACTCAGTGATTCTGTTGTGTTGCCTAAGGAATCTGCACGGTTCGCGGGGGTGAACTTTTCGCTCACCCTGATATATCAGTAACCGTTCCGAATATGACCGTTCCGACTCAACATGTGATGTATCATGATGATAACTGTACCCTGTTGAAATTCAGCTCAAAACTCGTTGAGGAGAATCACAGATTCTTTGAATTTGCCTAAGAAAGAAATACGCTCCTTCGTATAGAACACGTAGAGAGTAGGACAGAGAATGCAACTCACCAATGTCACATGCCCTCTCGAACTGCCAACTCCCTACCTTTATCGGTCCTAATATAATGGCATTGCTAATCCACAATAGTCAGTTTGAACCACTACAATGACGCAACACTTTGATAGGACTAACGTGAGTGTACCACAGAACATGCTCTGTCAACCCATAACTACACTCGCTAACGATCGAGCCACCCGTCGTTGAATCGACTCGCATTCACCCGATGCCTGCAAAGCTCATACTGACGACAACGTCAACAGCCACGCCCACCTGACACTTCTCATCGTTGCATAGTAGGAAGGTTTCCTGTAGGTTATCATCCCTATACGGCGACAGGAGCAGGGAACAACACTGCACTTGCTGAGAGCTCAACAGTGGCCTTTCTGAACTCATGATTGCTGACCTACATCCTTTTCTGGCGATCCAGACTGGTCCCCACATACCAACTGAAATCAGCAGCACGCATGCACAGCGGCTTCCATGAGCATCTTACCTCCTCCTCCTCAGCAGTAGCATACCGAAACGGCAACAGAGCATTACTTAGTAAAAACTCGGCTATTCGCCTTTGGCATGAAATGCCTCTCTCAGCCAGAGGGTTCTAAATCATCACCATAACAATTCCATCGGACCACATGAGCCTCCTACTTTCGGACAGTTCCCATCCGTACACAGTATGTAAGTGCTGATGATAGTATCTTCCCCCTTGCCGCACCCCTCAGGGGCAATCATCACCGAGCAACAGCAGATCGCCGACTGACCACGCCCTGCTTCCTGGCGCGACGCCATAGCACTGCTCCTATGAGTCTTCCTTCGACGTCGTCTCACCGACGTGGGACGGGAGATTTTCGATGATTTCGTTTGCTCCTTCGCCAGATGCCTCCATCGTTCGAGTTTATCCGGTTGTGGTGACACGGCTTCATTAACTCCAGTTTTAACTTTAATTCCACTTTGGCATTTCGCAGTAGATTTTCCCAATACCACCGCGCGCCTGCAAACGACTATCGGCTCAAATTCGTTCTTCTCCACAGCATGGACTCTATCGTCTGCCCATTTTCTTCTTATTAACAACCTCAGACAGATCGAGCACCACGACCGCCGACGCTTTCTACTATCACTACTGCAACAAGCTCCCATCAGCAGGCGGTTAGCATTAACACTATGCCAACTCTACTGCGATGAACGCATAAGCCCTACCAGAACCAAACAGTATAATTCGGGTTAGTAAAAGAATTAATATTCGTGATTATCAATCGCTACTGTCAACATAGTATTTTCAATATGACAATCGACGTGGTCACCACCTTTTGAGATGACGCTGATGATAAGTGAAATAATATTGGGCTTTAACTCACTTCACAACAGGAAGTGTTTGGGCACTCTCTGTGGTATACAAAACCACCCAGATCAGACGAAATTACGATTCTTGAACAACACGGGTGCCACCAAAGTCCATGCGAACAGCGCCAGCATCGTCCATAGTGCGGTAACTTGAATCCAATAGTCCAATTCACGAGATGCCGACCGGCCCTCAGCTGGTGTGAGAGGATCGCTGATCCACTTAGTGCTCAGTACTGTCAAATACATTGCTCCTGTCAGATGCACTATATTGAGGAACCTGAAAGGCAGATGAAATTCCGAGTGATAATTTATAGTTTTGAACCTTACAGAACTTGCCACCACGACACAGTAGTGGATTCCTCATTATCCCCACTGCCCGTCGCTGTCGTCGGGCGCGTCGCTCCGCCATTTTCAATATCCTTATTGTTGCCCGAACTCTCAGTAGCAGCAGTAGCACCGACATCAATGTTGGCAAGCTGAGACACCGCGTCGTTAGTACCTGACAATTCAGAACCAACCCTGGGGTAACTTGAGATCTCATTCACTTCTATCATAGCGATAACCGTTAGAGTATTCCTGGTCCTTTCAACGAAATAAGTCCATGCTACCGCTTACCGCTACTACTACTACTACTACTACTACTACTACTACTACTACTACTACTACTACTACTACTACTGCTACTACCCTCAGCCTTAGCATCACGTTTTTCCTGTTGGACTGTCGCTACCGCAACATCGTCAACATTAGCCTCATCTTGGCGTACCAATATCGGGTTAGCAACTCTTGTCGACATGTATATGAACACCACCGATGCCACTATATACCCAATGACCTGTCGTGCCGCGTTCGGCGAGGCCTCGTATGCATAGTTGGACAGCGAAGAGCAGTACGCTAGCCACGTCACATACATTGCCACAACACCACTCGGTAGTAGCGCCCCCTGAGGTGACAAGACTACTTACCAACACAGTCATCAACCTTACCGCTTTCGCCCATTCCGTCCAGGAGAAAATTACGAGAATTATGGTAATTATAAACGTAATAGACAAGACCGCATTTAGTGTAGCCGATCCACCAGTGAGTGTGAACATCCAAATAAACGCAGCGATAAACCACAAGTAGAATACCACCGAAATGGTCGTGAGCGCGATATACCTGTCAAGCTAAATAGCTCTATTACGACTACTATTACTACTATATCACCATTTTCGTCCAGCTTTCTCGTTGAGCATATCTCCCCTTTGATCCTCGACCGCATTAGCCACCCACAGGTCATTCCAGGAGTATCCGAAATCCAACAACACGACCAACTGCAGGACTATGAAGATGAATAGAATGCCGGTGTAGACGTCAATGAGAGTGTTGAAGAAGGAGTTCGGCACGAACATAAGGATGAAGCCCAGACCAGGCACTAGCAGGAACTTCAATATCCACCTGTGAACAAAAAATCGATAAAAACCTAGCGGAGCGACGCAGTTGATCATGAACACTATGCGAGCGATATACAGTATTGTTGTGAATTGATCAAGACGTGAACATGGGGTAATAAGACTATAGATCGTATGAACTCCCCGCTACTACAACTACACAGTGTCGACCCAAAAAGAGGTCTACTCCCATGATTTTTAACCGATTTTACAGTCGGATGAGAAGCGATGAAATTATGCATTCATGTAGATCTCAAGAAGAGCATATGACAACTATGGAAAGTCTGTACGAACTTACCAGGCGCCAGTGACTGCCATGCCCACAGTAGACCCCAACAGGCTGAATATGCACTGAATGAGGAATACTATAACCGCACCTGTGCCAAAGCGGTAACCGAGTTGATCTCTGTAGCACTGCTCTATAGCATCCACTTGATCTGGCGACAGACCAGAGGCTCCTGGGTTACCACCTGATCAGCGACGTGTGAGCTACATTGAATGATGACGTTAATATTACAGTTGTTTATTCCGGGTACACCATTGAGCCAGGATGCAGGGTTAGTAGTACGAAACACCAACATCAACACTACTGCTAATACTTGCAGGAGGAACGCCAACCCTTTAACGATCTGAGTAGAGAATACTCACGATTAATACCATTATTGGTATCAACAATAGTATTGACCTCGTAGATTGCAACAGTGCTACAACTAGTAGTAATATCACTAGTACTACAGTATCACCAATACTATAATACTAATAGGGCTGTACTACTAGTAGGGATAATTCACTATTCCGATTACTTGACCAACGCTACTACTGATATAATACAACACCTTGTGATCACCAAGACCCCTTCCTCCGCCTCTACTACTACCTTTATAGAGTCCGTATTACCACTAGTACCAACACAACAGCAACAAGCTGCAGCGATACCTGTGATAGCGCAACAACCCATCTTATTGTAATAACCTTAGCACTCACGATGTTCGGTGATAGCCCAACAACAACAACCTCCGTACTAGTGAGTGAAACTTAGTAATGATATAAAGCATGTTTTGTAAACTAGACGTTGATCATGAACATGATAATCATCTCAGAATCACGATAGAGATCAGACCAACACACCATTGCATTTTCTAATGTCACCATCGACAACCCAGGAGTAAACCAGTTATAAAAGGAGTGGTTACCATGAGTAATGCGACACATTGGGAGGGGGTTTTCATCATCATCACTCTGCAGAAGCACTCCTAGTATCACACTCCTTTCCTTGAAGACCAGAATGACCAGCCTCCTGCGGGCTCATAAACAGCCTTTTCATACACTAAGACACTCCTCGTCCTGTTTCGGGTGAGTCTACTGTCATCGCACTACATATTAAACCCATATCGATTTCCTATCGTACCCTGGCTCACCTCTTCCCAAAACGACAGATCCCTTCTCAGCTCGCTGTGCTCATGGGAATAGTTGTGCTACTCTACACACGAGGAAAACCAAATACTCCGCGAAAGCTAAGCAGCCGATTGCTGAACAACTACCGTTGACTCTGCTCGAGATGCAATACTAGGCCATTCGATAAGATACTCCTTGATACCATCCGCACCGCACTCCGAAGATTTCTACCACTCCCTCTGCATAGGATACCAAACCAAAGCCCACTGACGACAACCAGTAGAGTATCGAATTATAGCCGCTGTAGGGGATGGACAGTGGAGGGACCCTCCATCACGCCTTAGGCAGCATAGACACGCTGCGCCCACTGGTAGATGTCTTTAGTCTCGCTCGCCGATATTGCATGTAACCGTCGGCAGCATGCTGTAGTCATATGACACAAGAAACGGGACTCTTATGCGACTATGGCTACTCCTACTTGCGTTCACCCCACTCCTGGGAGGTAACTCGTCACGGTAGAGACACACGGAGTGGCCAGATTGACCAGAGTCCCCTACAGTACACTAGAGACATCACAGTCCCTTCCTCCACCATTTCCCCTAGTATCGCCCCCCTGGAGTATCCACCATCGTAATCGGTACCCTCCACTTCAGTATTACCAATTTCCTCTTCCACCAGTGAAACAACAACTACATTATCATTATTCCAGAGTGTCCAGTGGTCGACTGGTAAATTCAATTCCATAAGATACCTCTATACTAGTAGATTCACCCCGTCGGACGATATCTATAAGTAGGAATCCCTCATAATGTTCAGGGGCCGTATGCGGACTCTGATGCAACAGGTGAGAAAGAGTTTTTACTCAGATGAACAACATCAAAAGGTGAATACTAACCCCCGACTCCCTGATTTTCCAGGCTAGAGCGAGAAATCTAGGTCACAGCGTGAGTTGAATAATGCTCTCCCCGAATTCGGGTAAATCGATCAGCCGGGCGCACGCGTATTCTTCGGCGTGTAGTATATATTCGACAACCTATGGTAGCGTATACGATTGAGGTTGATTGATGGCCGATAATGTCGAAGGTGCAGCGACTGGACGATGATACTGCTGATGTTAAAACTGCTCTGAAGCGGATGTCTCGCAAACAGCGAAGGGAAGCCCTACGGAAACAGCGAGAGGGGGCGAAAGCCAAGGGAGATGAAGTCGTCCATTGTAGTAGGGGTAGACAACCGTATAGGTGGATAAACATCAAGTATCAATAGAGACTGTTGGGGAGCTTATAAGGGCGGCAGATACTTCAAATTTGGAGCAAGTCGTGAGAAGTTCACACTACTGATCGGTAGTAACGTGAATTAGATAGTCGAAATGACCACAGCATACGGGCACATGGCCCTATATACATATGCATATGGTGATACTTGTATTTCGATATAGGGATCAAGCTTCAATCTAAGAATATAAGTAGCTTAGGTTTGAAAGTGGTTATCAGAAGGACTCGAAAGGGCTGTTTTAGGTGACTTTTGGGTAGCAGCAAAACACCGGTATTGCAAATTCCAGCCCGCAAAAGGCTCAACTAAGTGCAGTGTGAGGTGATTCCATCGGGACTGTTGTTGACTAGGATGTAGGTCCATCAAGATGATGCTGAGGGCGATAAGAAGCGAATCCCATGCCCGATCGATCCAAATCATACAGTGTGAGAAATGCACGACTTAGGTGATAGTGAAAGATATAGAGTAGGTACGAGCGGAACCTCGAGAAGCATATCGCTGTGTGCAGTAAAACGAAGGATAACGACTTCATTAAAAGACAACCACTTTACGATGAGGGATGTAATGATAACAGAATAATAACGGCATGCGGTGAGGATTACTATCTAGATAATATACCCGAGGGAAAGAGGCCAGACCCTACACTAGATGGTGTTTCTATTACCAATGGTGATAATGAGGATGAGGACGCTGTAGTAGAGGAATGGTTGAAAAAGCTAAGCACTGCAGTATGAATAGTACAGCGACTTGATGATCTCCAATACTCTTAGTAGGTGAGAAAGTTATCAGATGAGCTCAGGAAGGATAGCACTACTGAGAGAATCGATATTGAAGGTAAAAGAGAGTTACTTACTCCTGCGGTCAAAGTTGATGTCCAGGTGAGGCCATCAGTTGTGAAGATGATCCGTCGAATGTGACCACTCGAGTGAGTGAGAGTATAGTGTCCAATGCTGTAGCAGATAAGCACGACATACAGAACGGCAGATTGTTGAGGATTATGGAGAAAGAGGGCATGTTGAGTAGTTGTGATGATGGTGTAATATAGTGCTCTTCCCTGTGGTGTGTATTCTGTCTGTAGATACCGCTCTTCATTGAGTATGGTTGTGGTAAAGGCGGGCTTTCACGTTGGGTTATGGAGTATCGAAAACAACAACAAGAAGGAGAAGTTAATGGAGCTTCGAAACCTTGGTAGTAGTAGGAGGAGGGAGCAGTCAACAATTTGTAGTTTCCGAGGTTTGCACATCAGCATAATGATTAACTGAATAAGGCTAGTTCACTAGTACCAGTAAAACGGCGTTGGGGAGCACTCCACGGGGATCATCGGAGTGAGAGGTATGGAGTATACCCCTCCCTGGTTACGCACGTTATATACTCCGATGAGTATCTCCATGCACATCTTGCATGAACCGTTGGGTTGAGTACCTATCCCCCATCAACTTTATTGGCATCCACTGTGGGCAGAAAGCAGCTTATCCAACTCTACTTCACTCACTTACGAGTGTTTCACATTAGTGACATGCGGAACGGTGCATGCCGGATATGCATGAAGATATTCATCCGAATATACAGGGTGGCCGAGAAAAAAGGGCCTCCTTCCCGTAATTTCTCAATTATGTAATATCAGACAGGTTTCGCCACCATTTTGAAGCGCTCGACGAGCTCTTTCCAATGGTGGTCGATTTACTTTCATACTCTCGACACTCGCTGAGTACGATACTTACTGATACGATACCGAAACGAAAAAACGTGTATGGAGGGAAGTCCTGGCATAATCGATTTTCCAGTATTTGCGTCTATCCATGGTTCAGCTTCCTGCAGTGTTCGCAGAGATGGAATAGGCGCCCCAACCAGGTTTACCGTACCACAGCCAATTGATGAAACATCTTTTCCTATCGTTAAGTTGGTCGCGCGGTGGCATAGGTGCCCCAACCAGGTTTACCGTACCAAAGCCAAATGATGAAACATCGTTGCATATCGTTGAGTTGGACCGACGATGGCATAGGCGCCCCAACCAGGTTTACCGTACCAAAGCCAAATGATGAAACATCGTTGCATATCGCTAAGTTGGACCCACGATGGCATAGGCGCCCCAACCAGGTTTACCGTACCAAAGCCAAATGATGAAACATCGTTGCATATCGCTAAGTTGGACCCACGATGGCATAGGCGCCCCAACCAGGTTTACCGTACCAAAGCCAAATGATGAAACATCGTTGCATATCGCTAAGTTGGACCCACGATGGCATAGGCGCCCCAACCAGGTTTACCGTACCAAAGCCAAATGATGAAACATCGTTGCATATCGCTAAGTTGGACCCACGATGGCATAGGCGCCCCAACCAGGTTTACCGTACCAAAGCCAAATGATGAAACATCGTTGCATATCGCTAAGTTGGACCCACGATGGCATAGGCGCCCCAACCAGGTTTACCGTACCAAAGCCAAATGATGAAACATCGTTGCATATCGCTAAGTTGGACCGACGATGGCATAGGCGCCCCAACCAGGTTTACCTTACCAAAGCCAAATGATGAAACATCGTTGCATATCGCTAAGTTGGACCCACGATGGCATAGGCGCCCCAACCAGGTTTACCGTACCAAAGCCAAATGATGAAACATCGTTGCATATCGCTAAGTTGGACCCACGATGGCATAGGCGCCCCAACCAGGTTTACCGTACCAAAGCCAAATGATGAAACATCGTTGCATATCGCTAAGTTGGACCCACGATGGCATAGGCGCCCCAACCAGGTTTACCGTACCAAAGCCAAATGATGAAACATCGTTGCATATCGCTAAGTTGGACCCACGATGGCATAGGCGCCCCAACCAGGTTTACCGTACCAAAGCCAAATGATGAAATATCGTTGCATATCGCTAAGTTGGTTTATCGATCGACGGGAACACTCCAGAAATGGAATCTGCCATCGCTGTTCCCTATGTACGGCTTTCTCCATATCGTCATACCTTGTCGAATATAAAGAGTAACTGGAATTTATTCAACTATCATTGGAGAGAGCTCGTCGAAATCTTCGCAATGGTATCTGAGTTTGTCCGATATTCGCATGCGCTGGGAAACCCCGTGGGGTGGGCCTTTTTTCGATCACCCTGTATAACGTGTGCAACCAGGCAAAGGGGATCCTCTAGGTGTTAGTCCCCATCGGAAGGAATGTTGTTTCTATTCTGGTAGATATGTGTTGTACATGTGCTTATCGTCTCTTTAGGACCTTCCTATTAGTCGATAGAGAAGCTCGACGTAATAAACAGGAAAACCGTAGAGACCTTACCAACAACACTTCAACGTCATCAATGGTCATGAGACTGAGAATGGATATCGCTGATTTAAATCTTACTGACTTGTTCGTTGCTGAGAAGCGAGATCAGAAACAGCAACAACAGGAGGACGCGACAGTATCTTCTACAGCTCATATTGGTTATGATGAGAGACTCGAAAATCTATGGGCTAGGTAGTAGTCATGATTCGGACCTCATTTGTATCCTACCATTTGGACATGAAGATACCATTCGATCCGATCCCAACCTGAGTGGCCGCCCAAGACGACCTGTTGTATTGCCAAGCACTTGTGTGGTAGTGCTACCGATCTCAGTCTCAGTAGGTTCTCTATACCTACCTGTGGGAGGGACGGCTCATTTCAGGAACGTTACTGTCATTTTCCCGACCATCTGCATTGATAGCAACATGTTGTCATCATCGTTGTGAATACGATATGCTCTGTGGAAAGGAGGTTAGTCGTTGTTTTTAACATTGATAAGCGCGCGCCCCCTTTCATCATGTAGATACTCACTGAGTTACTGCCAGAAGTCTGCGATCCTCAGTCCTTCGCTAAATTGAGGACCATGGCAGGCTGGGCTACTTCTCACGAGCCCTTGTCTAAGGCGAGGCGAGCGAACATATCCCCACAGAAAGCTGAGTGTGGACGATTAGTAAAAATACTAATTGACTTGTGTAGAGTTGCATGGCTGAAGAGAACTATGAAGTAGTTATTCTTACTCTAGATTGCTACTGGTAATTATCATCTTCTGTTTAGGTGCGATAGAGTCTCCTATACGCCTTACGTTGACAGTAATGTTAGTCCAGAAAATCGTTGTATCGCTGCTGTGGGAATTGCGTAAATCCTCAACCCTTCTCTGTGAACATAAACAAACTTCAAGTTTTATAGTAAATGAAAATTGGTTACTGTTGAGATAGAAGTGCAAGCCCGCGATTGACGAACAGGATACCATAGTATGAATCGATATAAGGGGGTAAAGGGAACTTGAGAAAATGTCCCCTTCCAGCTATCGAGGCGCGACGGACATGTTCTAGCATCATCTCTACCAATAATCAACATCATGATGATTGTCTATTAAGTGCTATAGAAATCGATGACATCAACAACGCTTTGATACGACCCAACTACAAAAAATACCAAACCGAGAATAATCATACCCCATGATGTAACTGCTGAATAATCAAACTTAGATCTGCTCACAACTGTAGCAGTAGAATCATTAATCTTAGTGCTATCATTGACTATCTCGACATCCTTAGCTTCTTCAGAAGGACACTCCTCAACGGTGGCTAAGCGGGCTCGGTGGAGTTGCTCAGCATAGAAGCGTGATTTCAGTAGCCTCACACAGAAACCTCCAGGGACGACGTAGACGATATAAGAGCCTGTGACGGAACCAACAAAGTAGAGGACAGTCTGAACGTCTGGGAGGTAGATGGCGACAACCACGCTGAGGATGATGCTTATTATCACAATGAGGGGACCAATCCACCATTGGAAAGGAGTAGTGCGACCTGAGATGCCTCGGATCGTTGCCTTTACAGAAGCACGGATAGGGAAAATATTGAGGGGGTAGGCGGCGAGAACAGCCAAGGCCATCAAGATGAAGGCTATCGTGACAAAGACATCACCGTTGTTGAACTCTTGTGTCATGTTGGTGACGATAGAACCTTCAGTTGCCAAACCGTAGGTTAGGAAACCAAAAATACCAATAGTGAGGTATGTGAAGAAGCATAGTGATACGGAGATGGCCGAGACGATCCTCATTGAAGACTCCTTGCGGGGGATGAGCTCTGAGTAGATTTGAGGGACATTCACTTGACAGACATACGCAAATATATAACCAGAAATGGCACCGATTACGGGACCGAAACCATGGGTAGGTAACCATGTGGTAGTAGGGGTGAGATCGACAGACACTCCACGTTTAATGAAAACGTAAAAGATACAAATAGCTAGAATGAAAATGGACAATACGCCCGCCATGGAAACCCATCGAATGTTGTTAATACGATTGACAAGACATAGAGGTAATAGTATTACAGCGACGATAATCGTGAGGATCGTTCGATTCAGGAAAGGATAGGCATAAGCCGCCTCGGCATGTTCTGGTCCGAAGGCTTTACCGAATACTGGTATGAGGAGATCTGCTACTGTGATGAGGTACGCCACTGCAGTGCCAAAGCAAAAGATGACCATAGCGACTTCGAAAAGATAGCCAGTGAGGTTATTGAAGTATCCTCTAACCAACTCCTCAAAAGTATCCATTTTAGAATGCGTCTGTGCTCTGACAATCATGTTGATTGAGATCATCGACATGATGCCCAAGGCGATGAGAAGTACCACAGAGAGAGGTATACCTGTTGACATCATTGAGCCAGGTAGTGCTAGACTGCCGGCCCCTAGAGTCGCTTTACACAGAGTTACGGCAGATGCTAATAGACCTCCGTCTGGTAAAGGGTTCCAACTTGTCTTAGTCCTCTTAGGAGAAGACTCGGCAGATGAGGTCATTTCGGTCATCAGCAAAAAATAACCCTATGCGAGTTCGTTATATTCACCGATGCACGCATGTACTTCTTAGCACGCATGCACACACGTATACATCTTTTCTCGCATGTCACTATCACATCCTCACCATCCATCGTGATGGTGATGAATCACACTTAGACGCTAATGTCATTACATAACACTAAGAATGACACTGAACGTAGAGGACGTTAATGCAAGGCTTGCCAGCGTCATGAGGAGACAAACAGTAGGTCAACTAAGCACTAGTCGTTCCCTATGTCACCACTGACAAATCGTATTGTGCGACTTCGATCTGCCACAACAATGTTAATATACAAGGACGTCGAAGTACTTACCTTAGTATCATAATCCACATGATATCCCCCATCCGCTGTAGCCCTCTGCAGTGACTTCCTATGGGCCTGGTTCGACATTCGGCGCACATCTATGTGCTTGCGTGCATCCTAAGATCCATATCTAATGTTGACGGTAGTTCGCCAAGGTAGACACGTTACCCTTTCCTCTCCTTTTGAGTCACTCCTCTAAGTCTCCGTGGCTCAGCTACCTCTATAAGCTCATCAGTACTTGTGTTATTCAGTTTGTGGGCTTTACTATCACAATACACTCTTCCGCTGCATCCGCTCGAACACGTTACAGGCGACTTCACGCTCTCTCGCCCATGCAAACTTTATTGATGGCCTTCGTAAATGTCTGCATCCCTCACCAGCATCATCAACTATTCATGAATGCCTCCGTTGCTACCTCTGGGCAACTTCGTGCATCAGACTCTCTCTATGACTATCACAACTAGCAACTCAGCTAACAACACAACTATCATAACTCAGCCGTCGGAACTTGGGATTGTACAGAGGGACTCCCTCATCATCCTGAAACAACCCCTTACAGTGACATCACAATCACTGTGTACAGCAACCCCCTCCGCAAGCAAGGACATCTCGATAACACAGAGGATGAGCCTCCCCCTTCCTCTCGAGCCTTAACTTCAGAAGTATCCTCCTTGTTGTTGAGTACTGAGGCTTCCGATGATGCCCCATACTCCATGCGAACGTGTGAGTCAGTGGTATACCCATTCTCATATGAGAACATGAGGCATTTCTAGTGACGAACTACTACATATGACATAAGTATCTTGGTTACTGTTCCACCAGACTGGACTGAACTCTGCGCCATTAAGATCTCAAAGAATGAAAATCTGAGTGCCTTGTGATCTCTTATATAACGTTAGAGCTCTCAAACCGAGCTGATCGTCGTAAAACTTAGGCTGTTCTGCCATAGGCGAGATCGATAATATTGAAGGCGTCCATGATCAATAACATGCGCATCCCTTGCCCGCATACGCTGTCTTAAGGCGCCTATTCAGAGGGTGGGGCTCCGACAACCTTCAATGCTTAGTGGAGGGCTCAGGAGCGCGGAAACGACAGATCCTGTGGTGAGGAAGGTCGTGTCTTATGATGGACTACACACACCCCTTACCAGTTAGGGTGCCATTGAACTTCTGCTATCATCAAAGCTTCTGTTACGACGCTCAATCATACATCTTGTCAATGGGAGCATCATCGACGTAAGCCTTGCTTATTTCGATTAGTTTTCATGAAGGTGGAGATTGTCAGAAGTATGTTGCGCATGAATGCCACACCATGCAATTCATAGGCATACCCTGCGTAATCTGGGGCCCATTTCACAAGGATTCCTGACCTAAGGCGCCTAAGGTGCCTTTGTGAAAGAGCTTAACCGCAATTAGGGGCAAAAATCGCGTAGCGCCTTACGATTTTCGTGACCAGCCGAGGCTTGTGAAATGGGCCCCTGGTCGCCATGAAAGGCCAGCATGCCGAGATTACTATACAGAGAGGGAGAGTAAAAACGATTCATTGGAATTCTTACACTTTCCTTAGGGAAAGGATTTGAAACTGATAATTAATCCCAATGTGTGATGATGCAGTGCCTCTGATGTGGTATCGAGAAGTGACTAAGTCTAAATGTAGTCTTAGATTCGCCTGTTGTCCCCACATATCGTCTCTGCACAAAACGCAACGCAACAGGGACGTAAGGTTTTGTGCAGTGCAAGAATAGTGACAAGCCCCGAGAAAATAGTGACGAAGTCTGTACGCGTCGTCTAGTTCAAGGCAGCGTCTGTTCCCTTCTTATACGGCTTCAGATCAGGAGGGATAAGCTGGAACCAGTGACTATGATGTCAACTGAGTTATGGTTGCTTCCCTCGTCGTGACCGTATTGGCGTTATAAGTGATCGTACACTCATTTTTGGTTGCCTTTCGGGAATAGCTGTTGTCACTTCAGTGAAAGTTTAGTTTTTCAAAATGGGTAAATCTAAAGGCAATAAGAAAAGGCAGCAAAAGGAAGAGAGCGAGGCTGTGATCTCTGAGGAGGAAGAACATGCTTTGGACGATGTGCAGGGTGTTGAATCTACTATAGGGAATCTTGAGGTTGATGTTGGCAACGGACAGGAGGTGAAGATATGCGGCTGGACAGTGCAAGGAAAGGGTGGGTCATTTAGGTCCCTATTGATGTAGTGGAAGGAGGAGATGCTGAGGAAAAGGCAACCTCACCAGCAGTAGAAAATGAGTAATACCACGCCATCCTCAGTTCGAGTCCTAACCATGCTCCTTAGGGTAATGGATGATAAGGAAGAGGTCGGGCAGCCTAGCCCCATAGAGACGAGTCAGGACGTGGACACAGGTGTACCAACAACCCCAGTCGGTCAGGAGACAATGATAACTCCACAGACGAAGGTAAAGGAATCTTAGGTTCCCGCGAGTAAGATTCAAAACATGTCCAGGTCAACCCCTATTCTCCCCAAGCCTCGACTCCTTCACATCTCAGTAAGGATAATCATATCGTCTATTACAGTAGAGTTATAACTCAGGTACCACCGAGGGTGCGGTGATTAATCGGCCAGCTGAAGGGAAGGAGATCCTCGTCCAGACCCCTTCTACTGCCGCAGTAGAGGCACCTCCTACAGATGATCAAAACCGGTTCAAGTGGAAGGTCTATAACACTGAGTACCTCCAGAGTAGTCTACGGGCATCCTTATCGACGGACTATACTACTCCTAGAACGCCTGGTACTATTCACAGTCCTACGTAATAGTTGTATTGTTGGTTTCAGAAGCTGACACTACTGCTCCAACAGTTGATAATAGGAAATTCGACGACCCCTCTAGAGTGAAGTACCCCCTGCAACAGGTAGAATGCCCTTTGGCACTAGTAGTCTGTGATGGTCACCTCCTCAGCTATTGGGACTAGCTGAGAATCTCCCTGCTGGGGTCAACCCGGCCAAAAGGGAAGCGTAGGTTTGTTAGGTCACTACTGGTGATGATGTGGTTTGGGTAGGTACCTCTCGGAAGAGGACTTTACCACAGTTTTTGGTAAAGATAGTAGAGCCTTTTACGCGTTACCAGTGTGGAAACAGCGGAATGCTAAGAAGACCGCTGGCCTTTTCTAATATCACTTGATTGCTTTCTCTATTATCATCATCAAGTTTGCTCGGGCCTATTTTGCATCCTGTTGTGGGCAACCTTGGATACTGTTTACGACTCTCCTAAGGAGGGAAGATGACACCGATATCATAACTGTACTAGAGGTAGATCGATCGAACTAGGGGGTTGTTGGGTTAGTCGCAGTAGGGGTGAGGTGCTCCAATGAGCGTGACGATGATGAAGGTAAGCAATTCACCCAGTAGATGTGATGGAATTACGGTATCCCGATAGCGGTGAAGCTGAGAACGGCTCTTAGTTTTGTATCACACCTCGTTGGCGTCCGCTCAGTAAGCTGATGAGGCCAGACAGATTCGGTCCCTTGCCCGTATTGCGATGATCATCATCATCATCATCTCGATATACTTATGAATAGAGCATCTGCGAAGTGGTGGATGTAAATGTATTCAACAACATCGGGAAACTTTACATGGAGAGGAGCCTTGGGAGTGCCAGAGTGAGGGGTCCAAACAATGCCTGTAGTATGCACAGCGGAGGTGAGAAGATTTGCTGGAGGTGTGGTATGGTAGTTGTGCACGTGAGATGGGCACTGTTGCCTTGACCCAGGGAACCTCTTAGGGCCCTTGAGAGGCCGGGCACTAGCGACCATACCACTCCTTGGCGGAATCGTCCTGATATATCTTTGGAATCTGAGAGGGATCCATGGAGTATATTAGGGTAGTAGTCACCACCGGCTCATACGGCCAATCCATGACTGATGAATGCTGATAATGGTGATATAGATGTATTACTGGAGGGGGTGTTGTGTTGATGAAGTGGAGGACGTGCGGTATGGGTTGTGATTGTAACAATGGCGAAACGCGAGAAGAAGGGGGTTGTCGAAAAGACCGATTCAAAATCCAGCGGGAATCTCGACAGGCAGTACGAGGAGGCCGAGGCCCTCTGTGACGTGTTCGGCCCGGAGGGAGGCTTCCTATGGCTCAACCGGCCCGACACAGAGGAGGATGGAGAAATGGCGTAGGGCAGGAGGGGGACGAGGAGGGACATTATGGTGGTCGAGTAGATACTCGGTAACAGTTAAAAGTCTGTCTCCATCTACGCCTCTGACTGCGGTGTTCATCATCACCAACCCAGTGGGGTACCCGGGGAATACCAAGGACCTGCCGGAGATCCTTGCAGTGGAGGGAAGTGATGCAGTAGCTAAACGGTTGGGTGAGAAGGAAGAGGAGGAGTAGGGGAAATTGTGGTAGGCTTCTTTGCAGGGGAGTTATCAAAAAAAGCATTGGTAACTGTGGAGTCTGAGCTCAAGGAGGGATATGAGTTTCCTCTCCTAGCGGCACTAGAGGGAGTAAGGCAGCTTTTAACCGAGGTAGTAGTCGGTATTGTATTATAGTGAGGTTGGGCTTGTTAGATTGGAAGTGGTGAAGAGAAGGAGGAGAAAGCAGTAGGAGGGTTGAAGGAAACAACCATTGACGACACTTCAGTTGAAGTGACGACCTCAAGGAAGGAGTAGAGGGGGAATTCGATCGATTCAGGATATTCTCAAGTCGGAGCCAACGGTGCTTGGGAGGAGAATGCTGGGTATTGTCCATATTCGTAATAAGGAGCACATGAAGTACTGCAAGAAGCTGGCCAGTAATGGGAAGTGATGATGGTGTGGTATGGCACTGTACTGCTGCTGCTGCAGATGAATGGAATTTGGGTGGAATGGGCAACCCGAATGCGATCGTCATTGAAGGGGACGAGAGGCTTTGTATTAAGTACACTGATATTATGATTCAGTACCAGCTATACGGGGAGAGTGGAAGAGTAGTCCTGTGATGCCGTAGTTACATTAAGAAGGTCACAGTACGAGGAGAAGAGCAAATACCCGTACCCAAAGGGGAGAAAATGGATGACCTCAGAGCTTTACCAAAACATTTCGAATTCGTCAAAATTGACGAAATGGAGAAAATCGCGAAACTGTAATGGCTTCCCTTCTACTGGTGTTGGGAATCGTTTTCGCTGTAGTTGCCGTGACCACGGTTTGGAAGAACTCTTCCTAACCTATTTGAAGGTTTACGGCGGTAGGCAATCATCTAAGAAGTGATGGAAGTTCCCCCGTTGTGGGGAAGCCACCAGTGACGATATGAACTGCTGTTGTTACTGATGCTTCTACTCCTTCAATCGGCCTAGGTTGAGTTCATTGCAGTGAGGGGGTGGTCGGAGTTGTTCGAGAAGTGAGATGGACAGCGATGATGGTAACTTTATAGCGGCAAGGTGTATACTATTAGCGAGCATATCGAAAAACTATCTACTATCAGTTTCCCTGTTGTGATTAGTTATGTTCCTTCCACCTGAATAGTTGTCGTTGTTGCGTTGATACAGTCGCGGAGATATGGAGGACGAGCAGTCAGTACTTGTTATGGCGAAAACAGTGACTCAACGTAGCATACCAAAAAACACAACAAATAAGATCTCACCAACAGAAACTTCTCTGAAAATTGCCTTGGTGCGATAAGCAATACTCGTAGTTGACCATGCGCATTCTGCTCACAGTGATAGAGCCAGGTATTCGATCACACTCGGAGGGAATGTGATTGTGGCTCAAACAATAAGATTATCGTCACTTAACCGCATGGACTGTGCGGCACGGCTATCGAAAGGATGGGGAGGGCGGAGCTTTGATATCAATTATAAGTTTCCAATTGCATTCACTTGGGAGTGTTTCGCTCCGTAGTTGTTCTAACTTTCCAACACAACAAGGAGTGGCAATAGGTAGGAATAGTACTAATGGACAATAGTGATAATACAATAGTGAATATGAATAAAACTAATAGTAGCCGTCTTGTCTGTAATAACCACTATAAGGAGGCTGAGGAGGAGGAGGGGACGGGGAAGGCCCGCCGCCATATGGTCGGGGATAATATGGTTGTTGTGGTGGAGGCCCTGAGCCGTAAGCATGTGGTTGGGGCGAATCTGACCGAAACGAGATCATCAACTTCTCAGCATTTCCTTCCAACCTACAGTTCATCCCCTCCATCGTCGGGTAACCCCCCGCTTCATAATAGGGAGGTGCTTCCACCACAGGGATCGTACGTAGGGGATGCGGAGCCATCGGTCTTCGCTGCCTTCTACCCACCAGTGCTGAACACAATAACAACGCTAACCGTCATCACGATGATGATGATTAGGTAGGAGCTCACGTCGTGGTACGATCGGTGTTGACCGTGACTGCTGATCTTCCGAAGCCACTTCACTGTAATCTGGGCTCTCCGGTGAACTACTCCCTCTGAGCGGCAAAGGAGTCGGCACTCTATTCAGTGGTGGGGGTAGGGGTAATGGCGGCAACTCTGGTGGGGGTAGTGGTCTCTCCCCCTCTCCCTCCAGGGACTCCGTATGCTGCCGCTTGAATGGCCGACAACGACCGTCATCATCGGTAGATGGGGACGCCTCCGGGACTACACTAGCCATAAGGTCGTTGTATCTGATAACAACAATAACAACAATAACAACAACAACAACGACAATAACAATAACAATAACAACAACAACAACAATAACAACAATAACAACAATAACAACAACAATAACAACAATATCAACAAGAAGAGCTCCTTACTCCTTGTCAAGTCTCCAGTCCTGCATGAGTTCATCATGACTAGGCATCCTATTTTGAGGACAGTCCACAGTAGGGTGCCCCCTATCCCCACATATCTCACATCGCACATGCCTACGACAACAAACACCATCACCTCTCCCCCTCCTCCTCCTTAGCCTTACCGGGCTAGTGACCTCCACCGTTCAATTTCGTCCAGACCGTCGGCCTCCAGAACGCGCAGTTGGCGTTGATGGAAATTGGACCCGATGCCCACCGTACCGTTTATAACCGCTAAGGCGTCTCTGCCGCGGGACTGGAGGACTTCATATCTGACATTGTGGAGGATGTTCTCATGGAGTGGTATGGGATTAACGACTACTCTCTACTGCCAGGAGTGAGGCATTGTTTGATGAACTCCACCGCCTCCTGAACTCGCTCCTCATCACTACCACTGAAAAACAACAGACAATATCATCTACGTGGGGTGACGGCGCGCGAGGGATGCCCGTGGGGTTGGCAGTAGTAGTAGGAGTAGTAGAAGGGAAGGAGTAGACATCAATTAAGCAAAGCTATTTGAGCTCGCACTTCCACCGGCCCGCCAGGCTACGACTAGACTGCCTCATTCTCCCAGCCCTTCAGCTCTCCCCTAGATGCCTATGAATCGCTCTCTACTTAAAACCCCTACGGCCACTAGAAGCCCATAGAATGTAAACTGCCAACACTGTGTTATCGATTCCCACCTAATATGCACGTGTAGAGGAAGATTAGCATCCTCCTCAGCCAACCAGGAAGTTGACGATGATCTGTCACCAGAAGCTGAAGACTGCTGCTGCTGGCCGAAGAAATCCGAGTTCTTCCCCGTCCCTACGTACACGTACTCATCCAACCCTCCCTCACCCCGACTACCCCTTACCTCTACCCCTAAGGGTGATATCACAATCGAGAATCTCCTTCAACAAACGGTGATTGCAGCCTCTAGGGCCAATAAGAACTCCCATGAAGTTCTCATTCGGGTACCTACTACTAGTACGAATGACCAAACACCATCTGATCAAACTCTACTGCCACTACCTTTTCACCGGAACCAACACCTTCTGGATGTACTTAGGTTGCCGATACTCTGGAGGAGGGACGTAGTTGGGCACCTGTGATGTGATGTGATCCTACTAGCAGCCTCTCGAGACTCCTCACAGTCTTCATCATGGAGTGACAAAGTCTATTGAGTTCGTCGTGCATTCGATGTTTAACTCGCAGCTCTCGTGTGTTGATCTTCTGCCCTAGACTGTTGTACACGGGTGGTGGGGAGGGCGCGCGAAGCTAAATGCAGTCGTGATAGTTGCATAAAACTCCTTATCATTATCACATCCTCATCAGCCAACTCCAACTCCTTATTGGCCACTTTTACTCGTAGGTCCTCCAACCTGAGCTCCCGCATGAGCTGATCGACTTCCGAAATCGTGAGGCCCACAGGAACGTCTACTAGTGGTAGTGGGCGATAGGGTATCTGGGGTCCAGCACGTCTTCATCGTGGAGTGGTATCAACTGAACTACTTCCTCCCTGGGCCCTAGATGGAAACGACGCCTTTTTTGTCCAGCCCTGCCCCTACCAGCGGCCGCTGGGCCGATAGAACCATAGACGGCCATCTAAGAGTAGTATAACATTAAAAAATACCCCTCGCGGAATCGAACCCACGACCTTCCGAACGCTCACCCCCCGCAATATCCATTCCACCAATATTACCTGTCCACGGCCTCTAGTATCATCACCAACCACTACAAGCTGGCCGCCCGACCATCCCGAGGGCTCCCACAGATCCAATCCCCGCACTTCATCACCCACCGGTACTATCGCCGAGGAACCACCAGCAGTGGGCCGAGGTAGCATATGGAGAGGCAACAGCAATACTAAAGACGATACGAACGGGAAAGGTCCTCAGAAGCTCAGCTCCCGCAACGTCGATGGTAGTAGAAAATATTATACTAGTACGAGGATTCCTATGAGAGCAAGTGTATAGCACGCCGCTAGGGGATCTCACGATGAACTATTACGCCCAGTAGAGCCCTCCTTGGCTGGAGCCATCGGAAGGTCCTCGTCCATAGGGGGGTGGGACCCAGTGGGAGTCGAAGTAGACGCTTTCTTCGATGACGATCTCCACGGTGGGAGCACTGCTGACTTAGCCGGTTGGGAAACTCTGGTAGCCGCCTCTGTGGGGTCTTCCACTTCCTCCTTACCATTTCGAGATCGATGACCTACGGGCGGCTCAAGTAGAGGGGCAGGGCAGCCGAAATCTTGAAGAAGTCGTTGTTGATCAGACATCTGTGTGAGCTCGTATCGATCGGGCATTGATGAGTAGCAATAGTACTATCCGTGTTAGGCGTTCGTTCTCTGCAGTTAGGGAGCGTATTCTGGTCACCAACTCCTTCATCATGAGGGACCTCTCATCAGCCGGCAGGGGCGGAGGCGGACCGCTGGACACCTAAACCACCCAGTAGTGAAGAGGAAGTAAAGGAAGTGTGGTACTACTAGTTTGGCTAGAGGACCACAGTAGGGCGGGAAGGGAAATCTGAGCGGTCGAGGAGGTAGCAGACCTACCACGACATCAACCATTAGCACACACCACCATCACTACCCATGGACGCTTGTCCCCTCTGAGCTTGTGGTCCAGCCCTTCCCCCTCGATATCTAGGGTTCTCACTAGTGTATCTACAAAGGCCCCACTAGAGAGTCTAAGAAGAAAAGGACTTTACCTCCGAGACCCCACACCATCGATATCGCCGTAGTCGGCTACCCTCTGCCGTTTCCCCATAGCCCTCGAACTGGTACCTCCAACTGTTGAGCTCTAAGACGACCTCAGTGAGTGGTTGGGATGACGGTTTTAGTAGTACTTGGTTCAGTCGAGGAGCTCCCCCGGGGTCACCACGGGCCTTCTTATGGGCGTTTAGTAATCGGGAAAATTCATCGTCATCGTCATCATCATCAAGAGGAGGGGGTGAGGCTATTTTATTATTTACTCTCTCTACGGAAGAGGATGGGGCTTCTACCAATGAGGAAGCCATCACCGCATAAAACTGCCGATTGCCGATTGAACGCAGAGGAAAGTCACGACGATTATAAGTGAGCGATTTCGTCCGGCTTTAGCGATGTTACACGTGTTAAAACGCTGACATACTGCGCACCTTCCCAACAACTAGAATGTAGATTACAGCATCTCATCGTGGCGTGAGAACAGCTGAAGCTCGACTTGCAGTTGAATATTATCCACACTAGCACGCGAACACACGGTCGAAACTGCGCAGTTTCTCAAGAAGAATCAATAGAGTACCGAAACATATATTTTGTCAAATGCAACTCTTAAGGGTGAAAATTTCGAGACGTTATCACCCGTTTTACGCGAAGTGGCGTAATATTGTGATATGCAGTAGTTAGTGTTTTCATATCACTAGGGTGGAGCTCCGGTGTGTTTTCCGGGTTTCACTTCACCACCACCACCAAAACGAACTTTTTCATCAACTTTTTAAGGCTAGTATTTTTGCTATTGTGATTAAGTCGTCATTGTTTCGCCTCGATCATGGACTCGCTTGTCTCGCACTCACTCGAAAGGTCCCCTCTAGAGGAGCTCTCCTCACCTCTCCTCACTAGACTACCTCATCCTCCACCACCGATCAGCAGTTTCAAGAGGCTCAGCCGATCGAGTCGAGCAAGGAGATCATCTCTCTCCTCCTCAATAGATGGGGAATCTATGGTAAGCCTTATAGCTGTTTTTTCAGAAGGTCATTTCAGCTCGCCTCACCCGCGGCTTACGTCCCAATGAGGAGTAGGGGTTTGCCAGATGACGATGACGATGCGAGCTGTTGCATGTCTGTGGACAGTATTGCGATTTCGGGCTGTACCTCCGCGAGCTCCCTTCGGGGAAATAACAATAGTGGCAAACGAGGGAGGAGGAGGAGGAGAGTGAGCGAGGCTGAAATTGATAAGGAGAATTTGAAAGTGAGGTTATTTGTATATGTGAAATACATAATGGTGATGTAGGCCCAAACCAACGAGTGCATAGATCTTCGGAAGGAGTTGGTGGGTGAGAGGGAAGGGAGGCAACGGGCGGAGTCGCTGGTAAGGCAGTTGAAGACGCAACTGAGAGAATCCAAAGGGAAAAAAATTTCAAGTGATGAAAAGTGAGGAATTTTTGGTATCGCTGTATTAGGTGATATATAGTTTTCAGGGATAAGAAAATCGATAGGTTGGTCCGTCGATTATCTGTGGTAGTAACAGAATTAGGGGAGGTTCGGAAGCAAGCTGAAGGGAAGGAGGCGACGCAGGAGAACGCTCGCAAGGAGGTGGGGAATTTCAAGGAAGTGTGGTATGAAATTACAGTATAACAATCGTCACTTTTCGTTGTTTGAGTAGTTATTCTCTCTGTAAAGTATCGGGCTGAACATGGGAATGTCCTCGATAGTCTTTCGGGGTTTTCATAAAGGTTGCTCCAGCGCGTGGAGGAATGTGCAGGTCGTCAAACAGGGGCTTTAATATTGGGAAAATTTTCTTTGTTTTTTTTCATACTCCTACCCAGAGCTGTGGTTAAAATGGTGAGCAAACTCCTGAGCTCAGTATCTGAGGAAGTGAGGGCGTTTTTCAGACTTCATCAGAGTGATTTCGAATGAGAGGTTAGTAATATCAAATTAAAAACCATCACTGAGTAGTGATTTCAAGATTGTGTTTTCGAGCTTCGGAACATATACAGTATCAGTCGTCAAGAGAGGAGGAATAGGTTTTCAAGCGTAACTTTTTTTCAGAAATGAAAGTTTCAAGTTAATTTTTTCTTCCAAGTAGTCCTTATATACGTATCTACAATGTAGGATAGAACAGCAGTTTCTCAACCCCAAAAAAGGTAAACGTGAAAATTCTCACCTGTGGTACGAGACGCCCGCGTGCTTAGTTTCGTGAATTCTTTTTGTATCTATTGGAGTTTCACGACCCTTTTTTCGTGAAGTGGAGTGATACTCTGTGGAAAAAAACGCGATATTCACGCTATGAAGTAGTCGTGAAATATGTTTTTCATATCACTAGGGTGAAACTCCACTTATTGATGTCGTGTTTCTACTCGCTGGAGGATGTCTTCACTCGAGTGAATATTCTCACTTTTCAGTAGCCGTATATGTGCTGATCGTTTTTCAGATAGCCAATGTAAAGCAAGTTGCAGCTCGAGAGCGATCTCAACAATTGCAAGCAGTAGGAGTAGGTAGTTGCTGTCGGTTGTTATCTCCCTTCGAAGCTCGCTGACCTACGGCACGCCTCTACAGAGAGGATCGCTGAGCTCACTGCAAAGTGTGGGAAGTTGGAGGAGGCTGTAGCTGACGAGGAAGGGCGCAAGGAGGAAATTGAAAAGTGATAAACTTCTGTGACTAGCTGGGGAGGTAGAGGGTGCTGAACTAGGCAGCGTGAGCGAATCGTCGCGATGGAGATTGTCATTGAAAGTTTGACGCAAGAAGGGAAGGAGCAGATGGAGGCCAACCGCTTGGTGAGTAGTGTGCGAGGAAAACTGAGTATAGGTGTGTTTTTTTTCTCAGCTGCGGCAAAATATGCAAATTTTAGAGGAGAAATTAAGTACAGTTGAGGAGGAAAAGAAAAAGGAGATTAACGTGGTGAAGTCGCAAGAAGCGGAGTGAGTCTTGTTGAAGGAATTTGATCGATAGTGTTTGCAATAGGCGAACGAATGAGCTGCTCGAGCGTATTGGAGTCATGGAAGGAGAGCTGGAGGAGAGGGAGGGTCGCTTTAGAGTTAACGAGGAGGAAGTGAAGACGGCGAAGGAAGAGGTGGATGAGATGAAAATTGAACTGGATAAGGTGAGCTCAGAGCTTATGAGATGAGAGATGAATGATTTTAAGAAAAATTTTTTGGGGGTTTTTGTGAGCTCCTACGGGAGTGGTGATGGAGTTGGGAGGAATAGGAGTTGAATAATTTAGTTTTTTTCCGTCAACATTTATACACTAGGAAAGTGAATTAGTGAGTTGTGGTATTCGGGTATCGAATGAGAGTGGAAAGTGAATATAGTACGATTCGGAAAGTGGTGCGGGGTGATAATTTTTGGAGAATTTTGAGAAGTGCCATTTTCAGGAATTTCCAAAATCTATTAAAATCTTCACACATGAGAAATGAAGATGAGTAGTAATAATTTTTTCATTTCTTAAAACGGCAGAAAATCTGAGAAATATTACTTGGTAAGTTGGAAATGGTATTTTGCAAGGTAAAAATCATAATTTTGTTTATAGGAACTCGAGTTGTCTTGACGGTTGGGGTTGCACTGTGCGTAGAAATTTATGGTATGCATTTTCTTTCAAGGTGTATGCGGAATTGTCGGTACTGAGGCGACAAGTGGAGTTAGAGGAAAAAAGGAGGGTAGCAGTAGAGGAGCGGTATGAGAAATTGAAGGCTGCTGAGATGAAGAGGTAGTGGAAAGATACTAATCGTGCCCAGGAAGAAAGATTCAAATCAGGTTGGGAGAGGTGTCATCACTCAAGTTGGAGTTGGTGGAAGTTCGGGAAGCTCTAGCGCTGTCGGAGGCTAAGACAGAGAGTCTCGCGAGGGAGCTGGAGGATGCAGCCCGCGATGGTAGTGATGACCACGACCACGCGATAACACCGATGGAGATGATAATTGATGATAAGGAGGAAGAAGAGGAGGAAGCTCTCGTAGAGCCCGTTGCCTTTGCTCGCATGGTAGGCGTCATAGTTTTCACCACAGTGTCTAGCTGCTCCTGGCGTCAGGATTCCCCTAGGACCCCTGGGGTTGGGGTTAGCAGTAGTGTGAAGAGGAGGAGGCGGCTGAGGAGAGTCTCGGCTCCACTGCTGGATGCGGCAGTTGGGAACTATAATAATAATCTTATTGCTGAATTGAAGGGAGAGGTGAGTCAACTTGAGATCTTGGGGGGGATGTGTTTTTGTGAGGTAACCGACATCACGGCACAGCTCATGAAGACGATCGGGCAGCTTCGGGCGAGTGAGGAGGGGAGAGATTCAGTTGAAGCGAAGTTGGAGAGGGTGGAAATGGAGTTGGCCGAGGAAAGGGAGAGAATTGAGGAAATGAAGGGAGAAGTGAATACCAAAACTAGAGAAGTGAGTTGAGTTCATTTCGTCTGAAAAGAGCTTCCTAGTAGACTGTGATTTCCTCGGGGAGGGCGGCAGTAGCGGAGAGTATGCTGAGGGAATCTACTAGGGAGTGGCAGAGGGAGAAGCTGAGGTTGTTAGCTGAGGTTGGTCGCTAATCGAGTATGCGTATATGGTGGTCACTTATACGTGATGATGGAATATTCACGGTGAAGTTCCTATTGGGATTCTGTACACTTTTATACTACAGGTCGTGTAGGAGTTTTCATGATGTAGTTTTGCAGACTTCTAAGCTCGGCTGAAGAAATTAGCAATACATTTTCAAAAAAATGCTTGTTAGCTTGCATCGCTCCGCTCAACGGTGCTCGATACGGAGTCCACCGCAGCCCGGGAGGCAGCAAAGACGGGCGTTGCTCAGCAGGAGGCGACGGAGAAGATACGTATGTTGGAGATTCGCCTCACTATGCAGGATCAGACTTTGGCTGCTATGGCCGAACAGTGCGACAAGTGGAGACTACAGTACGTGTTTTGTTTTGTATTTTTCGAAGTGCATCATACTTGCATACTCTCAGAAGCGAGCATTCACAATCACAAGTTTCCGCCAGGGAGTTGGAGCTGAACTCTATGGGGGTTTCGCTGAAGGAGTGGAAGAGTCGAGCGGCGGAGCTCTCGGAAGATCTCGCCACCGCTGGGGACTCATTGGTTAACGCTGAGACTAACATGCTTGATTTACAGTTCAAAGTGTCCTATTACGAGACCCTCCAGTGTCAGCAGGAGGCAGCTGTGGTTGTGGCCAGGGTTAGTAGTACTTAGCGTTCACCAGTGTGGTATTCGGGAGCTCAGGCGTGTGTTGTTGGTGTGTTGAGAGCTGCTGAGAAGGAGAGGGCTCGAGAGGCTGCATCTAGTGCGGAACTACTCCGATTAGCCGAATGTGAGGCGGCCCGGGTGAAGGAGGAAGCTGCTGAGCTGGTGGTCGCGGTGGAGGGTATGCGGCGTGAAAAGGAGGAGGTGGAGGGGCTTGTGAGTGATACTCGAGAGGTCTGTGTTGAGGGGGGAGGGGAGGTCCGAATTGATTGCTTCAGAGAGAGCTGATGTTAATCGAAGAAGTGTCGAGACTTGAGATTTGTATGAAGGAATACAACAAAGTGAAGGTGGACTTGGACGCAGAATTGGAAAAGGCGATGGGGAAGATTGCTGAGCTTGAGGCTGAGATAGAGGTGACACGGTGTGTAACCACATCGGTGGTAGGGATGTACTCACTGGTAGATACTCCGAACAACGGGTCTGTGTGCTGAGCAGCGTCAAGTGCTTGAGAGAGAAATTGAAGAGACGAACAGGACACTGCAAGAGGCCCTAGGGGATCTGTCTTCCACTCGAGCTGATCTTGAGAGTGCTACTGAGGAGGTAGGGCGGAATGCTATGGTGGGATTATGGACTTGTTTGTGAGGTTGGCCGGTGCCACAAGATGATGGAGCACTTTGAGATGAAGGTTATCACCGCGGCGGATTCGGGAGGGAGGCAGCTCCCACAGAGCAAGAGGGTCCATTACGTTCAGCATCTGAGACGTGAAATCAACAGTTTATATGAAGAAAACAAACGCCTGAGGAATGAGAGGTGCTGCTGTCCTATTCGGATTAGTCTATGTCGATAGTTTTCAGGCAGAATTTTGAGGCTCAGCTCTTAATGAGTACACGCCGGTCATCAACTGGGCAAGGAGTCCCATCTCCAGCGGCATGTAACTCACACACTCCTGGGCGAACACCTCGTAAAGGACCTATCCCACCCCGTACGCCTAGGACGCCAATGGGAATGGCCGCCGCTGAGTTGGCAAGACGGAAGAAGAAGACTGAGGAGGCGAAGGTTAATGAAAGGCATAGACAGCGGTGAGGATTCCTCGAGATGCACTTGGGGGTCTGTGCTTGGACGAGGTCAGCATGACATGCAATGTTCTCTTCAAAAGGCGTCTCGAAATTCGCTGAGTGTTTCCTTCAGATTGCTCTCCGAACGCCTTATGCTTCTCGGTCGAGTACGCGGTGCCTTGAAAAAGTCTGACGCTTCTTCTCAAAGTCTACGGACTCTCCTGGAGAACATTCATGACATTCTTGCCGCAAAGGATGCTACATTATCGTAGTTGACAATATTAGGACGTTTCTAGAGTTGAACCGTATATCTGTCTGATATGTAGCATGTAGTTTCATTATATCGCAGCACGTGAAAATGCAGAGAAAATTCCGCGGCCGGGAATTGAACCCGGGTCTCCTGCGTGACAGGCAGGAATACTCACCACTATACTACCGCGGACTTATGATTATTATGTAATTTTTTATGTGTAGTGGTCCAACTGTAAATTACCAACTTGCTCATTACAACTCACTTCCATGCTGGATACAATTAACGATGGTAGAGCATGTTTCCTCAGATGCGATCCAATCGCGTTGTGCAACTAGTGGGCTCATCTCTACTGCGGTACTCTAACTTCTCTCGACGGCGTCACGGTGACGCTCGCGGCGGTTACTTCGCGCGCCACAAATTTCTAATCGCGCGACCAAATTACTCAGACAGCTCCTCTTATTGAGCCACAAGTGAAAATCTGAAGTTGCAATTTCTTCGATGTTGGACTCTGTATCCGGGGCCGATTACCAACTAACTAGGACCAAAGCTACCAATCATAACCGCTCGGATACCTTCACTGCCAATTCGTCCGCTGCACGTCGTCAATCTGCAGACTATCAGGAGTCTGACTGACTCGTGCAGGTCGAATAGGACTCTGGTAATCCGTTCCTCTCCGATTTGGACTCAGTCAGAGCTCGGGCTGTTATCCGGGTTATGGTTGTAATGCAAGTGCAATCCAAACTACAGGCTCCCCAAAGAAAGAAGGAATTACAGGTGAAAGCGGAGAAAAGGAAACCCGAAAACCCACCCAAAACCCGAACTGTTAAGGAGGTTTAAGACGTTACTCATGTGAACCAGGAACGCGAGGTAGTGGCCCTACAAATCTTGGACACGCGGGGTTTGTGCCAGGGAAAGAAAGATTTGTGCTGCGTGAGGAAAAATCAGTGGCGTGGAGTAGAGATTAGTGGCTTAAGGGGAAAAAAGTGGCGCGCTGAGAAAAAAATTGGCGCGTATGAAGTAGATACCGACGCTCGCCGCCGCACAGCCTTCGTGCACTTCATGAGTATAACGTTGTAGTCGGCAAAGGATGCATTTTAAGGCATTTCAATAGAAATTTGACGAAAAATAGTCGAACCCGCAGGCAATAGTCTCACATCATGGCTTTTTGTTCAAGAGCGGCTCAGTCCTCCATCTCACAGAATACTTTATTGACTCAACTCGATAACAAAATTTGCATCGGACTCATAAAGTTATTTATACGATTTGAGGTATAGTCGTACTATTGGAGTACTGTGGAGGCCGTTCCGTAATGAAAGAATCGGGCAACTCTGTACAAAGGGTTGCACTGGGAATGCTCAAAAATTCGACTAAGCGATTCGTTGAACATGAAAATAACAGAATATAAGCCCGTGGACCTCCTACCGGCGAGCCGCTGGGGAACGACGCTTACTTCAGGGTCTTCTTAGTCGTCGCTGGTTTGGTGGTCGTCGCTGGCTTGGTAGTCGTCGCTGGCTTGGTAGTCGTCGCTGGTTTGGTAGTCGTCGCTGGCTTGGTAGTCGTCGCTGGTTTGGTGGTCGTCGCTGGTTTAGTAGTCGTCGCTGATTTGGTAGTCGTCGCTGGTTTGGTCGTAGGGTGGTGAGTCGTAGAATGGAGAGACGTCGGCTTGGCGGTTGTCTTCTCTGACAAAGATGAGATAAATGAGCAAGTCAGATTTCAATGCACTTACTATTCTTGCTGCATCCTGTGAGGAAGAATAGTGCGAGTAGTGCGAATACGATAGAAGTTGAGAAAGCTTTCATTGTATATTCGATACTATAGCCTGAAAGAGCCTGTCGATGGACCGACTCGGCACGCCAGTGATCTTTTACCGGAACGGAATGAACATTTCTGTTACGAATTGAATGAAACATTCGGCGTCACTGACCTTATCATCTCAGCACAGTTTGTGCGGGCGAACGAAGTCTCGCGCAATGTGTAGTACTACTAGTATCTGAGAGACCTAGGAGCCTGATTGATAAGAAAGAAGTCTCTGGAAGTCTCTCAGAAAGCAGTAATATTCTTATTGAAGTAGGGAAGAGTTCATCGTACTTTTCGTTCGACCGAGATGTTCGGAATTCATTGTGCTGCTTATTCGACCCAAACGTGCTCGAACGTGTGTTTTCTACCCTGCGACACGCAATACTCGATTGACCTCGCACTTGTCGGGAACGCTGATTGTGAGTTTATTGAATAGTCCAAATGGTGCCAGACCCAAGCTAGATTGCTAAACAAGCGTAAGCTACTAGGGTGAAACTCAGAGAGTCTTTTTGGAAATGAAAATCATACGCGTGGAATGGAACAAAACTGTGCCGCACAGTTATGTTCTTGTCCGTGAACTTCCGTGAATTTGAACTGTCGTTCCCAAATTCATAAGTTCCACTAGCAGATCCCGTTGCTTCGCTCCGGGGAATCTCTACAGTGTAATCACAAGCTCGAATCCCATGGAAAACAGTTTTGAACAACTTGTTGCGTTTAGAATTAATAGGTGGGAAGCAATGCATAAGAGAGACCTAGCTCACAAGTATTAATGTCTGCGTTTCGGCTGATGGGGACGTGTTGAGAGCTCTCCGATGGGAATCATCGATACCAAAATCTATGAAAATTTTAGCGGGTGACTGCATACTTTTATCTCCGAAGAAGACAGACGCTCTTGCAGGCGTATGACATTACCAGACAACGTCTAGTAGACGTCCGAACAGACGTGGTTGATAGGAGACATACGTTTTATCTGCGACACTTATACGATATGCGCAAGATGTCTGGCGCTTCCGAAATCCCGTACTGGACTTTCCAATTCGTCATAGCCCGATTACTTATGGCTCGTTGTGGACCTTTCAATTTCTTTATAAATGCTGCCACTCCAAATAAGACCTCAATCGTGTTGATGGCGACCATAGCCTATGGTCGATAGAGACTATGCGAATTGCATAGTCATGCAAGCTCATTGAATGAGCTCGCCCATTGTTCGTTCACTTTACTCGGCTAGAGAGGGCTCAATATGACTGGGAATAGCTCTGCTATTCAGAGAGACTGCATAGGACGAGAGCGAATAGCACTACTATCACCCACTCAACACATGTGTACGAAGA